TTAAGAAAGGATGAAGTTTTCTTAAGAAATGAAAAAAAATATAAAAAGGGCCAATGCTAAAACTGCAATCAGACGACATCATGACAGAGTTTTTGGGACAATGCCTGAGGACAAGCATGAAGGTGCCTAAAAAACGTGAAACTACATTACCACATTCAACCTTAATTAAATACTCTCTCCATCTCAAATTATAAGACAAAGTTAAAAAATATTGCACATACCAATAAAACTCAATAATAACACTTTACAAACTTACTTTTTCAAAACAAAGCTATAAACTTTTAAAATACCCCTATACATCTAATCATTATGCTATAATATCATTTCAATTCTCTTTCCACTTGAAGGGTAATGTTAGAAATGCATCATTAATGAAACCTATATTTCTCAAATTGTCTTATATTTAGGACAACAATATACCCCAACTTTGTCTTATAATTTGGCATAGAAGGGGTATTTTATAACACTTGCCACATAGATATATTCAATTTGGTGTTTTCAAAGGCTTTTGAAGCACATGCCTGCAAACAGCCCAGCCAGGATCATCTCGGTTACAAGTCAAGGCTAGCTGGCGCCTCTGGCTGCTGTAGTAGTAAAAGGCCTTTTGCAATTGCAGTGCTCACTCTTTAAGTTAAACTAAGATCACCCGCTTACCCCCATTTAAGCAACCAACCAGTCAATGGTATGTGAGTTGAAGGAACTTTGAACCAAAAAGGCCCATCTTAAGCGATCAAAAACATAGAACTTATTATTTATTTAGTTTATTTCATCAAAATGGCTACCTCACTTCAGAGATACATGACTGCCACAAGCATTCGAGAGTTCAGTGCTTTAAACTGCCTAGTTCTCCTGACAATATTGATTCAAGCTACATCGAGAACCAGTGTAGGAACTTTGAGTTGTCTCCAAGAAGCATGTAGTCATATATATATATATATATATATAGAAAGGTACCTCCTCATTGACCTCCCAATCAAGAAACATGGGGTTCCTCGCACAATCATTAAGTAGCTCCGCCATTGCAGGAACATATGTCTTCAAAGCATCAAAGGTGTAACCCATCTGCTCTCTAGAAGCTGAGGCCTGCACATTGCCACCAATTGCCTCGACCTCACAAACTATGTGAAAGTGGCTACGGTTTCTAGTGCTCTTGAAGGCCATACGTTCTAGCAAATGTGTAGCTCCAAATGACAATGGTGTCTCATAGATTGAGCCACAGTCTACGTATAAGCCTGCTGGAGTCTGAATAATGACCAAAATAAACAGAAAAATAAATTAAATTTTAAATTGCATAGGAGAAAACAGCAATGTACAGGCAGATCATATTAAAAAAGGCAACAATCCATACCGCTGATGTTTCAGAGGCCACCCTGACACCATTTGGAAGTGTAGTAACCTTGGTTTTGCCTGGTTCAACATGATCAGGCATAAGAGGTGGAAGTGTGAGCCTGGAAGCGGAAAATCCAGAGGTAAGGGCACAGATGTCTCTGCAGTGAGCCATCCAAAGATACCACCCAAGCCAGAAGAGGATGGTCTTGTGGTAATGGAACATGAAATTGCAAATCTGTCTGATGCCCCAGTCCATGAACGGGCCCTGTTTCATGGTTTGATGATAGAGAACAAAACCATCAATAACTATCCTAAATTTGTCTTCTTCAAACATAAATGGTGAAATGAAAAGTGTGTTATTACCCAAGCCAGTAAACCAAATGTCAACATCTAAACGGAATAGTGAAAGAAGTTTTACTCCTTTTCTAATTGTTACAACCAAAATACCGGAGAAATAAAATTCTAGGCAAAACTCCAATAGAAGGCAAATGCCTCATCTTTTATCAACTTAATGTACAAGTTTCAGAAATCATTATGTGCATATAAACAAGGAGAGGTTACAGATTAAGTGAATTTAGCCCTATAGCAGAAGTCGTTTTGAAAACTGCAAAGAAATCAACGATCAGATGATTGAAATGAAAGTGCAGGGGCAAAAATGAAGAAACGCCAAATGCCAAGTTTACCAGAAGCGAGTGGGGCAAAGCAAATAGAATGCATTGAGCCATTCAGCTCGAAAATCCAAACTATTGCCATTGCTAAATTTCATAACTAATCGAGATATCGAACAGTACATTGCACCCGAAAAGAATAGTGAATGGCAGCGAGGAAGATCGAATGGAGGAGAAGGTGAGGTCTAAGAGGGAGTGAGAGTGAGAAGCAGAATAACCCTGAAGGCCCTGAGGCAGGACGCTGCACGTCTGTACGTGGAGGTGGAGTTTCACTGACCCCTTAGGCTAACGCTGGACAAAGGTTGAGACTTGAGAGGGAGACTCACCACCGGAGTGGCTGCTGTCCGCCCTAGGGAGGGCGGTGCACAGGGATCACAGAGCACTGAACAAGGATCCCACACGTGGGAGTTTCAATCTAGTGCGGTGACACATTAAAACAGTCCAACTCCAATCAAATTCTTCTCATTCGGTGCACATTGTTGCCAGCCACACTTAATGGATGAATGAACGATTTTGCAGCGGTAGAGTGAGATCAACTTTTGTTAATCGGACTGGGTTACTAGCGGTTTTGACACCACATGATGGCGCTAAATGTGTTAAATTCCAAATAGTTTTGTGTTGATGGATGATTAATAATACTTGTTGCTTCTTTGTTGACATTCCCTCTGGAGCACGTCTCTCCACTGGTCAAATGAGACACTTCCGTTCTGATGCTCCTTTATGTGCTACTTTTTCAAAAAAAGAAAAAAAGAAAAAAAGGTGCAGCTAACATTTGGTGCTTTCATTGTCTTCACGGTTGAATTCTTGGCTTAAAATGTTGAATAAGACTTGCAAAGACATGGAGACTGAAATCACCAACCATGAAATCGACATGTACCATAGGCCAACAGATCAAGAGCGCTGGCACTCACCTTCCTACAGTCTGTGGCAACAGACCAAAGATGTTTAACGTGTGGACCAATACTATGACACTTCATGTCATTCTTTTATAAGGATGCATGGCTACAGTTTCCACTTTCTTTTGGTAGCTTAATGTAGAGATTTTATGTAGTCCGAGGTTCCTTGCAGGTATTCGAATCAATCGATGCGCTATTCATAAAATCAGAGGGAAGAGAATTTATCTCCGATTTCTTCATCACCTACTACGTAGCTCTCTCTTTAATTACTCTCTTTTCATTTAGGAAAATGCCTATATGCACATTTAATACTATTCAGTTTTATTAATCGATGCGCTAGTCTTTACTTTGTTTTCTAAACCAAAAAAAACAAGTCAGTTTTATTAATTAAAAAAAAGGGTAATATACGATAATACTATCACACCAACCTAAGCCAAAACAGAAACAAGCAACCGGAAAAAGAGCGAGCTACTGAAGTAGGGACTCTTAGAAAAATTAGACATAAAGGAACTGCGTTTTTTTTTTTTTTTGGGGGGTCAAACATAAAGGTACTGCGTTGTCTCTAAACTAGATTTATGCAACCATGAAAATGCATGAGTACTTAAAAGCATGGAAATGTTTTAGTACTTAAAAGACAAAAAATAAATATAAATATAAATATTTAAAAAATTATTTTAGTGTACTTAAAAATAATAGCTTCTACTTTGTAATATGCTATCTTTACGTATATAGAAAAATATCAATATTTTTTTCAAAATTTCTATTACTTCCTACAATTTAAAATATAACCTAGCTTGTTTTTTTTAAAAAAATTTGATGTCCGATGTATCACCTTAAGAAAAATTAAACATGTACTATAATGAAGCATCCTACAATTTATGTTATAATATTATTCATAAATCATAATTATGATGGTTGTAAACTAAACAAATAGTATAAACCATGTTATAATACTATTGTCAATTATATGTACGCATATTACAAGTAACACAACAATTAAGAAAATATTAGGCATATAGTGAAAGATAAATTTATTAACATTATATAATTAACTTGAAGCATATAATTATATAAATGTATTGCATAGGTGTGCAAGCCACAATAACTTTTACATATAAATAACAGAATTATAGATTTTCTATCTTATGCATTTCAAGAGCATGAACAAAAACTTGTTATATTCTCAAATAAACTACTTTATGATTTATCACTTCATGCTAATAATAAATATACAGTAAATTTTTTTATCTAAACTGTATTATCCTCATATAAATTTAAATTTAAACATGCTTTATTTTATAATTTTTTATTTAAAAATAAAATTTTTATTAACAACAACTTTCTTTTTTTTTAGAATTTTCTATCCCGGGCATAGTAAAAACATAAATAACATACTCATCTATATTAAAAATATATTCCTTCTGTTTAAAAATATAAGATATTTTTTGAGGAGTTATATGTTCAAAAATATAGGACATTTTTAGTCTTTTAAGGTGTAATCGTTGCTTTTTAAAAAAAAAATACTCTATTGATGATAACTTTATATTTATTGTAGGGTGTTTAATAGAGATAAATATAAAAAGATATGGTTATTTTGAAAGTAGGTAATTATTTTATTAAAGGTGAAATTCGATTAAAAATACTTTATTTTTTAAACGGAGGAAATATAAAATAAATAATTTTATCTTTTGGGCAACAACATATTGTTCTATTTTTACACGAATAACTTACAAAATTTGTTACTCTATGCATTTTAAAATGTAAAGAATAATTTATTATTTCAAGATGTGTGTTATCACCGCATTGTAATAACCCAAGAATTAAAAAAAGAAAAGAAGAAAGAAAGAAAAGAGGAGTAAATATATAAATTGGTATTTTAATTATAGTTATATTAATTTTAGATAGATAAAGCAAGAAAAATGAGCTAGTGTAGTGGAAACTTGAACAAGTATTGTTCTATCAAGTCTCAAGTTAGAATCTAATTGAGACCAGGAAGATTTTTTTTTATTTTGTTTTTTCTTGAAATTATGAAATTGCCCTCCTCCTCATTTGATAAAAATCTTTGTCCTCCTCATTTCTTCTTCTTCCTCCAGAAAACTCGCGAGAGAGAGAGAGAGAGAGAGAGAGGAATGCTCTGACCGATAAGCCATCTTTCTTCTTCTACACCTTCATTTCTGTCTTTTCTGCTTGTGACTGTCGCCGGCGCGTTCGTGTTCATGGTCAGTCATTGAATGACAAATTCATGAGGAACCATGTTCGAAGCTGGATCAGCTGAGAAAGAGAGAGCTTGGATGTTCCCATCTTTGTTCTCTTTTGCTTTCTTCCTCCTTTTGCTGTCATCGCCGGTGACATGGGTGCCGCTGCTCCATTTGCCTATGATCAATTAGCTTGTGGCTTTTGTTTTTCCTTCCTCTATTCCAAATCAGTAAGGTTCCTTCGTCACTGTCAGTGTGGCGGTACGGGCGAGCTAAAATCTCTTCCATCCTCTTGCTTGTTCTGTCAATACTGGTATGCTTATCTGCTCTTCATTCATGATGATCGTTCCCCTTTTTCTTCACTGTTCAGGCATGCCATTGTTTTCTTCTTTCTCGGTTCGTTTGCCATGAGTCAATTAAGGTGGAAGCCTTGACCTTTTCTCCTATTCTCCGAATAATCTGTGCTGTGGGAGTTGATTTGTAGCTGTGGGAGTTTCATTTTATTGACTGTCATTTTCCCCTGCAATCGTTGCCTTCTTTTCTCCCTGTGTATGCCAATGTTAATGGAGGTAAAGAAGTCTTGAGCTACTTATTTCTCATAGTTTATGTGTGTGAATGACTGAATGGATGATTGAAGTTGCAATTTTTTTCCCTTTTGGTGGCTGCTACATGATTGTGTGAGAAGGATAGAAGTTAAATTGAAGCTGAAATTATGCTTCTATGTTGCCATGTGAAACGTGGAAGAGAATTCTTTAATTTTCTTAAATTAAGATTGATTTATTTAATAAAGAAATTGGACTTAGGAAGTTAATTTACTTAGTTATTTATATATTAGAGTTTTGGGAAATAGAATCTAGGAGCAAGAAGTGGTTGACCTTAAAAAAATAATAATAAATAAATAAAAATTAGTGTATGCAAGCTGTTTGACACAATGCTTGTTAGAAGAAATTTTATTTGATTTCTATACAATTTTTAAATTTTATTTATTCCTGTGAGTGATATGTCCAGATTGAATGCTATCGCTCTATGAGCTTAATTTGAAGTCCAAAGGAAACTTGAGTATGAAATTAGTATCAAACTATTTAAATTTTTGGGAAATAGATGGTATTATGACGAAGTATTGAGTTATGGTTCTGAGGGACTTTTACGTGTAAGGTTTTGCTCCTAAAAATTCCAAATTTACTTTAGTTAAATTTTGATGGTAGTAATATTAGGAGGAAATAATTGAGAATATGGGAAGTTTATTTAAAAATTTTTAATTTAATTCATAGGATATTTGGAGGAGGAGAATTTAGCTGGCATTAAAAAGGTGAATTCTTAAATTTTGAAAATTTCAGGTAAGTGAATACCGTCCCAACTAATTTTTTTAATTAAAATTTCTTTTACTAGAATATGACATTTTTCGGAGAATCATTTTTATAGCATTAATGCGATTATTGGATATTTATTGATTAACATTACTTTATTTTGAAAAATTAGCTTTACCAAATTTGAAATGTTATTTGATCAATTAAATCAAGTTCGGACTTTGATTATGAGATTTTTATTCTATCAAATATTGGATTGATACAGAGAATGATTCATGCGAGTTCGACGTTGAAATTTTTTTTATTCAATAAATGCAAATATGAGTATCGGATATGAAATTTGATTCTAGCAAGTTTTAATGCTTAAAAATATTCATGCGAGTTTGATTTTGAGAATGAAAACTGTATATTGAAAGTGATGATTTTCTCGCATGTTTGAAAATGGTTTTAAAAAAGGACTTTATACAGAACACTGGTTGTTAACGGCAGTTCCATTAGTCCTTGACACGCCATGGTACACCTAGCTAGCAGGGTGTGTATAGGAGATACTAGCCCCGTATGATGGCCAACGCACGTGGAATGAAGGGATGGTTATTCGTAAGCATTGTACTCACGTTTGATTTCGTGGCTTTGAGTCGCATTTGGTTAGCAGTACCCTCGTGGACTGTGTGTCCACGTTTGTTTCATAGCTTTAATTGCGTTTGGTTATTTACCCTCGTGGATTGGTGTGTCCACGTTTGTCTTCGTGGCTTCGGCCGCGTCTGATTATTTACTCCCGTGAACTATGTATCCACGTTTGTTAATTTTTCTGATAAATCCCTATAATTATAATCTGATTATTTGGTGATTTTAAATTCCATTGGTTCTTGCTTAGCAACTTATTTATAAGTATTTATTTACATGCTTTCTTGAAATCAAGTGATAATAACAAGTTTTATGATAGTTCAATGGTTTACAATTTTATTTAACTTTGATAGAATCATTTCATTCTAAAGCTTATGGAATTTTTATGGAAAGAGTTGCCTCTTTGGTTACATAATTATTTTGAACTTTTCTATTTATTCATGATCAATTATTTATTGTTGGGACGATATTCATTAGAAAAATTTATTTGGTCTTAGATTCATTAGCTAACGCTGATCTTACCACCGGCCTCAAAAAAGGGCAACACAGCTATATTGGGTGGAAAATTTTGCTTGGTATTATTATTTTTATATATAAATATTTTAGTACTCACACATTTTAAAATTAAAAGAAAAATCAGTTGCTCCACATAGATTGCTGTTAGGGTTTTGTTTTGATCTATATGTAATTGTTAGTTGGAAGAAGCTAAGCTCCTAAATGATACTGTTTATTAAAAAAAAATTTGTTGTAGAACTCTTGGGAGATTGTAGTTACAGGAAAAGTTCTGTCAAAATTTGTTTACAAAAAAAATGTTGAAGTCTTGTTATGACAATTAATATTCAAAGTGTTAAAATTTTTACATAATCTAATTATTTTTTTTTTAAACAGAAGAAATTTTTATTTTAAGGCTTACGGGAGTGTAGGATGTAGTTCGCACCCGTGCTGGTCATCCTCTATTTTCAGAGTGTGACACGCATAGTTAAATTTGTTACTCTATGCATTTTAAAATTTATTTTATAATTTGTCACCTAACTTTATATTTTGTTCTACAATTTATAGTCTTTTACATATAAAATCAAAAGCAAAAAAATTATTTTATTTAGAATTTATTATGTTGATTAAATTAATTTAATTTATATTTTTTGAGTAAATTAATTTATATACTTTTGCTAAATAAAATTTATAATTTTATTACCTATCTAATATCTATTATTTTTACTAAGAATTTTATATTCATTGTCAATATTTACTATGCATCCCACATGATTTTTTAAAATATAAGAATTTTATTATTTTTTATACCTTATCTAAATTTTTAACATTTACAAATGATAATTTTTATCAAAAAGTTTGTCATCTATATAAATAAAATTTATTAATTAAATTATGAGTCTCACACCCACTTTTTTAAATGATAAGTTCCATATCCATTTCTTTATCATGGGCCTCAAACACATATTTTTTATTTTTGCTAACCAATTATCCATCAACTATTTTTTAACAAAAATAAAAAAAAGAAAGTATATTGTTCTCTGACATTATACTTTACTATATATACACAAAATTACTATCTATTAACTATTTTTTAATAAAAATTTTTAAAAAGTACGTTGGACGGTATGCAGCAATTGAACGATGCATTTTACTGTATATATTGATGATATTGATGTATATATTGGTATTGTTATAAGTCTTAATTTTATCTTCCTTTTATTTTTGTTACAAGAAAATACCTCTAACTAGTCGCCATCATTGCAATAATGAGCATCCTTTCTAAAACTTGCAAAAGTCTAGCATAGGGTGAATTATCTTCTTTTTATTTTTAAATATATGAAGAATTTTAGTTAAGGATAAGATAAAAATTAAATTACTGATGAGTCCCAAAAAAAATATAAAATTTTAGTTTAATTTAGAGAAGAAAAGTTAAATTAATTTTAATGGTGAAAATACTAAAATATATTTAATTTATTATACAGAATCACTAGATGTTAATTTTTTTACTTTACCTATATCACTCATAAATTACATCCGTTTGTTAGACAATTAGTAATATTATTTATTAATTTATTAATTTTATTTATTAATTTGCTAACATCGATTGTGAATTACTGACAGGTCAATAATTTTTACCATTGGATTGACTTGTCAGTAATTCACAACTAAATTAACAAATAAAATTAGCAATTTAACAATTGATATTGTTACTTATGATTGAACAATTGTCAACTCATTTAATTTATAATTCATATTAGTAAATTAACAAGTGGTGTAAGAAAATTAATAACTAATGATTTTGCATAATAAAGAAAGAGTATTTTTATCTTTTTACCGTTAAAATTAGTTTGACTTTTTTCTCTTGAATTGAATTAAAATTTTTAAATTTTTTTGCATCCATCAGTAATTAAGTTTCTATTATAGTCCTTAATTAAAATTTTTCATTAAATATAAGTCATAATACAAATTTCTAGATATAATTAATACTCCCACCATCTTATTTTTATAGGAAAAAAAATAATATTTTATTAATAATGATTATTTTAATATTATTATTCATTATTTCATTTCTTAAATATATTTCATTTCCTCTTTATTAATAAAGAATATTTAAAAAAGACATAAAAGATCAAAGGTCCTAAACTCATTTTTATATAATATTTTTTTTAATTTTTAAAAATAATACAATTTAACTCTTGTTATTAATAAAAATTAATTTTGATCAATAGTCAACCAAAAATAATTTTAAAAATTACATAAAATGACAAAAAGAATTTTAAAAATGCAGATTGCTTTATTTTCATTTCTATCAAAATTAATTCTAACATATCAAATGGGGGCATTATAGCTTAAGGACCCACTTTGCTCCTTTATCTTTTTAAAAAAATGATGAAAAACTTATGCCTTATTTGATATGATGGAAATGGAAATGAATATAAAAGTAGAAATGAAGATATATTTAGGGTTTAAAAATATTTTTGCTATGTTCATAGAATCTTGATATATTTTTTTATTAAAAATATATATGCATAATGTTTAAAGACAAAAATACCCTTGCTCAAGGAAAAAAACCCTAAATTAACAAAACCAGCAAATTACCATCCACCCCCCTCAGGGACACTCAATCCCAGTGGCACCACCATCCATCAACAACACAGATGATGAATCAAAGATGTAGTTAGAGATTTGGTTGCTGTTGCTGGTGAAGATTTGGAAGAAGTCGAAGATAAAGAAGAATGAGAATGAAGCGAACAAGAGAGGGAGAAGTCAAAGATGATGAAGAATGAAGTGAGGAGGCGAGATTTGGTTGCCGTTGCTACTGGAGATCTAGACAGAGTTGAAGTTAAAGACGAAGAAAAATGAAGCGAAGAGGAAGACTCCGGTGATGATGAGGAAGAGTCTACTGCCACCATCTTCACCGTGCATAGTAGACATACAATAGATAATCATTGCTGCCATCTTCCCTATTCTTCGATTCGGTGTTTGATGATAATGAGAGATGAGGAGGAAGTGCTATTTCGTCGGTCTAATGACCAAGGGAGACAAGGAGTCCGAAAATAAGAAGGGCAAAGATAATTGAAATTTGGCTTCCATGGAATTTTACACAATTTCATGGTCAGCAGATGGAATTCATTTCTATCATTTTTTATTGAATTGAATTCCATATGAAAATAAGATATGGCATATCAAACAAATTAAAATTTGATTCCTATCTTTAATTTCATTTTCATGCTCCTAATTTTCAGTGTACCAAATGAGACCTTAAGATTGTAAATTTTTTTTTTAATGAAAAGATTGTAAATTATATTTAATAAATTTTATTTATATAAGTAACTTATAAATTGACTGTCTTTGTTTCTGAAAAACACTCATAATAGAAAATATAAAATTCCTATCCAACCCTTAATTTTTTGTAATCAAGTAAAATGCACACATTCAGATGGCATACTTAATAGAAGGTAAAAATATATATAAAAAAAGGTTAATTTTTACACGATTTTTGATATTTTCTTTTAATTGCTCGAAGGGATCTCTCATTGGAGGCTATCCACGTTGTGAGGGATGAACTGAGTGAGTTCATCGGGGCTGAATCTCGACAGCCACCCACAAATTAATGGAGTCCGTTACATTGAGTTTGTCCTGGTGTCCAAGCCCCAACGGTCACCACTCACCACGCAGCCATTGTCGCCGACCTGAACACTATATACTCTTCCTTACCATCCTGAGATCAACTACTGTACATGTCAAGCGACAACTTGATCTTCTCCTCGCTCTAGATTCCCATGAGGCATTTCCTCGTCTCAGAAGGAAGAAGAAGAATATACTGTTCTTAACTCTATACAAGAGCTCACTAATGCTGCTATATCAAAAAAGAAGAAGAGGAAGAAGAAGAAGTTCCGTCTAGATCTTTCAAAGCCTCCACATCAATTCGCTGCCATTTGTTTCACTGGTTTGCTCTCAATTACTCCCACCGTAAAAGGAAAGTCGTTTTTATTTTGTTTCATATATATTGTCTCTCCCCAAAGCAAGGCGTAGTATTTGAAATCTGTTTTCTAGATTAATGGCACTCTCTGTTTCCTAAAGTTCGATTCTCTCCGTCAACTCCTTTTACTATAAATACGACTATCCTCTGACCATTCATTATGTCCTTGAATGGCGTCTATTTATGCCATCCTTTCTCCTCTCATTCGCACACTCTTTGATGTCTCCTCTTCCTTCTCCGTCACCACCGCCACCGCCACCGCCACCGCCACCACAAGCTGTTGGTTTAGTTTTCGGGTCGGGCCCCGAGGTTGAATGGTCCCATGGCTTCCTGTGTCAATTGCAAACCCAAAATCGTCACCGGCACTTTGGGTTATGTCCTCGAAGATGTTCCACATTTGTCTGATTATATTCCTAACCTTCCCGTACGTCCTCAACTCTTGCTTCTTCCCTAGGCATAACATGCGATTCAATCTACGTTATTCACCATTCTCCTCTACTTTCTCCAGAATTGTCTAACATATTTCTATTTGTGGGTCCATGCAGACATTTTCTAATCCTTTGCAGAACAATCCTGCTTATTCAGTAGTCAAGTACGTTATTTATTTCCTTTTACCCTTCTGCTATCGTTTCTTCATGATGTGCTGGTCTGGTTAGATGATAAATTCAACGTTATTTGCACTTTGCCAGGCAGTATTTCGTAAACGTAGACGATACTGTTCCTCATAAGGTTAGTAATTTATGTAATTTCCTTTCAACACAATTGCCTTATAAATAGACTTGAAGTACCTCGTACGTATATATATTTCGTGGATTTTTAGATTTCTTTTTTTTCCCATTTGACAGGTTGTTGTTCACAAAGATAGTCCAAGAGGGGTACATTTTCGGCGTGCTGGACCTCGCCAAAGGGTATGTTTGCCGCACATAAAGATCTATCTCAGCAATGTTTGATCATCCACAATTACAAAGCTTTCTTATTATGATCACATAAATTCGGATTTTCAGGTGTATTTCGAACCAGATGAAGTTCAGGCAGCCATTGTCACATGTGGGGGTCTATGTCCTGGACTCAACACTGTCATTAGGGAATTAGTATGTGCCCTGTACCATATGTACGGCGTCAAGAAAGTTTTAGGAATCGACGTAAGTACATGTTGTGGTGTTATTTATTTCCAAATCTGCAAGATGGAAAGGTCTTAACTCTAAACCATAATAAACTTTTATATCATGCTTTTTAAAGGGAGGTTACAGGGGCTTTTACGCTCGCAATACAGTTACTCTGAATCCTAAGAACGTGAACGATATACATAAACGTGGAGGAACTGTTCTTGGGACGTCACGAGGTGGACATGACACCACTAAGATTGTTGACAATATCCAAGATCGAGGGATCAATCAGGTTTGCTCGTCTTTCTTCTTATTTACCAGAACATCGGGTATGAACAACGTATCATCGTCAGATTAACGTTTCTCTGAATCAATCCCAGGTTTACATAATAGGAGGAGATGGAACTCAGAGGGGAGCGTCTTTGATTTTTGAGGTATCTTATGATTTAACAACGAGTTTCTCGGACTTCTGTGATGTTTAGGGATATAAAAAAGACCATCTCTTGTGGGTCATCCCTGCAGGAAATTAGAAGGCGTGGTCTCAAAGTCGCAGTTGCCGGAATTCCCAAAACCATAGACAATGACATCATGGTACGGACACCTTGTTTCTTGCTCATTCGGGGAATTATGAATCTATTTACGAACACGTAGTTAATGATCTTATGCCTTGTTTCTCTGTTGATAGGTTATAGATAAGTCGTTCGGGTTTGACACGGCAGTTGAGGAGGCTCAACGTGCTATAAATGCGGCACATGTTGAAGCTGAAAGCATTGAGAATGGCATTGGCGTTGTGAAGCTGATGGGTCGCTATAGTGGTGAGTTCAACACACTTGTTTCTGTATAATTGCGTTCAAATTAAATCCTGCGTGTACAAAACGACCAATATCCCTCACTTTGCTTCATGATTGCAGGATTTATTGCCATGTATGCTACTCTTGCAAGTCGAGATGTGGACTGTTGCTTGATTCCAGAGTCAAACTTCTACCTTGAAGGTGAAGGTGGGCTTTTTGAGTTCATAGAGAAAAGGCTAAAAGAAAACGGGCACATGGTTATTGTGATAGCCGAAGGGGCAGCACAAGATCTTGTTTCAGAGAGCATGCAAACCATGGCCAAGCAACAGGATGCTTCAGGCAATAAGCTTCTTCAAGACGTTGGACTCTGGATATCCCACAAGATCAAGGCGTGTGCATTGTCATGTCTTCCTTTTATGTGCTGTATATTTGTTTCGCACATAATACAGTACACTAATAATAATTTGACTTGCAGGGCCACTTTGCCAAACATAAAAGCATGTCCATAAATCTCAAATATATAGGTTTGATTAGTCAAACTTGTTAAGATCGTGTGTGTTTGCACCGGAAGATGCAACTATATTAGGATATGAAGGGGCATATTTCTTTTTAAATTTTTTACAGATCCCACCTATATGATCCGAGCTGTTCCAAGTAATGCCTCTGACAACGTGTACTGCACACTTCTTGCTCAAAGTGCCGTCCATGGAGCAATGGCAGGTTACACTGGCTTCACGAGCGGACTTGTAAATGGAAGATATACTTACATACCCTTCTATGTGAGTTCATTGGACGCACCTGATATTTAATCTTTTGCATTTATTCCTTAAGCTTCTTCATGGACAGCCAAAAATTGAATGTTCTTTATGTTTTATGGCTTTTTCCCACTCAATTTTGCGCATTTGTGGGTGATGCAGAGAATCATAGAGAGACAGAACTGTGTGGTGATAACTGATAGAATGTGGGCACGGGTTCTGTCTTCAACGAATCAGCCAAGCTTTTTGGGTCCTAAGGACGTGATTGCAGACCATAGGGAAGAAGAAATGTTGGACGAGATTGATGATCCTTGTTTAAACGACATTATGGTTAACACAGAAGTCGCCAGCATTTGAGTTATGACAGTCTCGTTCATAAGTTGTTAAGAGTCTTTTGTTTTTTCCGTTGGAGCCACTCAAAATTGTGAAGAGTCAGCACATCAACTAACAATGTCAAGGGGTGCCGCTTCATTTGCAAATGCATTTCTGTTTTGGTGCGATGTACAGTCTCCATTGCTTGTATATGTGCAAAGTCTATATTATTGTCCCGTTTAACTATGCCTCCACTCTTATTTCTACGCCTACAATATCAAACTCCAAATGACTTTTAAGAACGCCCCCCAATTCAAAATATATGGCCTTTTTTATTAATTTTATTTAGTTTAAAATATAAGAAATTGAATAGTTCTTTTAATATATTTTTTTTAATTATATCCCTCCTTCATTTATAATTTTTTTAAAAATTAATTATTAGAATTTTAATTGTTACTATTAAGACACTTACATAAGACATTTAATGAAGTATAATTTGAAAGATATATAATTCTTTAAGAGATTATTTTTTAAATAAAATATTAAAGTTGTAACTTGTAACTAACATTTTTTTAAAATAGTAAATGAATTAAAAATGTTCTAAATTATAGATATGAAGGGTACAATGTTAATGAACGAATAATAATTTATAAGTACCCGAAATGTACATGATAAAGACGTGCAAATATTCTAAAATGTATATAGTTTATTAAATCTCTATTTACCTTAAAAAAATGATTTCTCCTTAATACTGCAAAATAGTAACAGGAGTCAGGAGAAGAGTAATTGACCAAAAAATAAATCCAAATGGAAGGCTTCGCTTCGTTTATATTTAAAATAAAAATAAAAAACAATAAAAGAAAAGAAGGACTGGAGGAGTTTAATCGATCCAGGACTGGGGTGTTTGCGGATCGGAATCTGTGTGAGCGTGCAAGGAAAATTGGCGAAGGATGGGGATCAGATTCGTATTGATGGTGAACAAGCAGGGGCAGACCCGTCTTGCCCAATACTACGAGTACCTCACTCTCGAAGAAAGGCGAGCCCTTGAAGGCGAAATCGTTCGCAAATGCCTTGCCCGCACTGAGCAGCAGGTTTCCTTCCTTTTCTCTTCTCCATCTTCTTTTTCAATTTTCAGTTATTACGCCGTAATATTTGTGTGCCTTTTACAAGTAATTATAAGTTCTGGTTAACAACTCAGGGGAGCTCTTTAAATTTCGTGGCTCGGATTTAAGTCTGAACATCTGTATGTGAAAATTGTTTAGTTTAATTTTGAAGAATTCAAATGGAAAATATAGCAATCTCAAGACCTGTTGGCCTGTCGGGTTTATAATTCGCTATCGGTTCATGCGTTATTTTGTTCTGTATTTTTCTTAACTTTGGTACTAGAAATTTATGATGAGGGAGGGCCGAGACATATCCATTGGAGTTTTGACATAAATATGATTTTGAACTGAAAAGGAAGCTATTGTTTTCAATTTCTTTGTCGGAATGTATGTGTCAAGCATTAGTTCGTGGGGTTATGCTGATAATACGATATCGATGGTCTCTTTTTCGGTCACATTGTAACATTAGCGAATAATCTGTAGCTTATAGTTATAACCATTTGCCTTGCATTTCTAATTTATTGACCAACCGCCTTAGCAGGCAGAAGGCTGCCTTTGTAGTCCGATCTAAGATGTAAAGTTGACAAACGATGCATTAAGAGGTATTTTCTCGAGAAATTGGCAGCTAAATGTAAAGATGGCAAGAGTGTTCATCCAATGAAGAGAACATTCGACCTTCTTTCCAGTTGCAACAATTGAAACTCAGGGCATGAAGTACTTTTGACATTGAGCAGTAGTTGCCGTTATGTTTAGGTTATAGTGCTTAGTCAGGGCGCAAGCCGTGGAGTCTTAGTAGCTGAAGGTCATTTTTTATCACTTAAAAAAAAATGCCAAGTGGTTACATGCTGATAGAATATGAAATAATGGTTAATTAGAATAATTAGGATTTATTTAAGATATTAGAATTTTGTATTAGGGATATTCAAATAAGGATATTTATCCATTAGAATTGGGATTTATTATTTTTATTTTATTCCTATCTTAGATATCAACATATTTAAGATTTGAATTAAATTTAGGATTTAGATTTGAATTTAAATTATTATTATTTTATTATTTTTAGAGCTCCATAAATAGAGCTAGGTTTTTTATTTGTATTGGGTTTTTGAGTATTACTGAATAAGAGTTTTCGAGAATTTCGGCTTTTCTCCTTCTTCTTTCTCTCTCCTTCTCCTTTCTCTTCATCTCTCTTCCCCGTCTCCTCTTCCTGTTTTACATCACATACTTTCCTAGCCAACTGCTTTCTGATTTCCTGCTTCAGTAGATGCCAGTGAGACCTTTGCAATAAGCTACTGTTGAGTCACTTGGAATACCTGGATGTCAAGAAATATCTTTCCGTTTTCTTTACAAAGAAGCATTGGTTTTTATCTTAATTTTCTGTTGACTTTCGGTTAGTCTGTGTGTATTTCATATTTGATATTCTTGTTAATATATTACTTATTTATAGGTTTATTGTTCTTCAAATGAAATTGGTGGTGCTGCTTTCTCTGTCCTTTTTGACATTTATGTGTTGATAGGATCTGCGCAGCCTATCCTGAAATATATGGAAATATGGACTCTTCTAATTGTTGTTGCTGGCAGCAATTGATTTACCTATTAGCTGACACATTTTCATTGTGGACAGTGTTCATTTGTTGAGCATCGCAACTACAAAATTGTTTATAGGCGCTATGCTTCCTTGTTTTTCTTGGTTGGAGTTGATGATGATGAGGTAACCTTTTTCTGTGTACTATTCTAAATGTGTTCATTTAAGCACTATGCAAAAGAACTTCATATTTTTAAACAATTATATGAAATGGTTTAGCGTTAAACTTAACGCTCATGACTTCAAACTTGATCTGGCCCTTAAGCATGAAAGAAAAAATTGATTGTCTTGGGAATGGGAGAGGACATTTTTATTGTAGGAAAAGGCAGCTTGAAATTTAGTCTAGTCGAATTAGATCTCTATGAAGTATGCCTTGTGTTTATCATAGAAAATATACCCTTGAGCGTTTCTCCTATTTTCTGTGGAAAATAATTGCAGAATGAGCTTGCTATTTTGGAGTTTATTCATCTCTTAGTTGAAACCATGGACCGTCACTTTGGCAATGTGGTAAGTCTTGCATTTATGAGAATGTATGGGATTTTGTGTTTATTCATTTTCCTAGTTTTTCCTCCCCTCTCCTATCGTTTAAAAACTTCCATTTTCTGCAAGCGGATCACAGTAAAGTGTCTTAATTTTAAATCCCTCGTTCATTTTGACTCGCAGTGTGAGCTAGATATCATGTTCCATTTGGAAAAGGCGCATTTTATGTTGGAGGAGATGGTCATGAATGGTTGTGTTGTGGAGACAAGCAAATCAAACATTCTGACTCCGATTCAGCTGATGGACAAAACGTCATGAAATGCATATGAAATGAAATAAGCATGCAAAAGCTGACTGGGTGATTTGTGTATTGTTAGCTGTTCTCATCGCTATATTTTTCTTTATAATTTCGGCTTGGCACAATTAGTCTCCAATTTTCTTTATAAATTACGAAGTGAGTCCTTTCCATATTTCTCCCCTCGTCCCCTTTTTTAATTGTATTTAGTGTTGATCACGCGCCTTGTACATTAAATTTATATTTTGGTGCCCCTGTTATCAGCTCAAGTTCGTATCCATGCGATGAGTGATTCCCTGTTCCTAACATACACAAATGATAAAATCTTGATTGATGATTCTTGATTTCAGATATTTGTTGAAGGTTTCAAATAATCTTTTGCCAGTGAAAATACCAAGAATGGAAGTAGTTTGATTGATGATCCTTAATCGGACATTTAAGAAGACTAATGTGATCCTTGGTCTTTCAATAATTTTGCTAGAAAATTTAAGAAAAGATTTGATTATAAGGACACCGGCAGGGCGGGAGGTTCGCAACTTGCTGCGTACAGCACCAATCGCAAGAAGATCGATTGAGTTCTTTCTTTTTGCATGGCAATATCCGACTACAAGTCTACGACCACCTAAAATGAAAAAAGTTTTCCTTGAGTTGATATTTAAATTATGCATCTAGCTTTTCTTTGGGAAAAGCACGGTGCAGAACATGGAGTAATTTTAAATACAAAGGGGGACCTTAAATTTTGTTTAAAAATAATAGAAGTTGTACAATGAGAATTTCCAAGTACGTTATTCCCAAATTTTAAAGTTCCCATACCAATACATGCATACATACATACATATATATATATATATATATATTTTAAGATTACTCTATGATGTCAGGACGTGTAGACCATAAGGTGAGTGAGATCGCTTCAGGCCTCCAAAAAAAACTCTCTTAATACTCTTTTTGTATATGAGGGGTCGTATATGTCATTGATATTTATATTATTATATATTTAATTATAGATTAAAGAGAATAAAAACTGTTGAAACTTTAGTCAGTCCTAATATAACATTAATTATTAGGCCAAGCCTATTATTTACTTGAAAAAAGAACAGTAAAATCTATAATACACTAATTTTATAATTTGCAGTACATTACTTCAACTCCTTCTCAGTCTCACTTTCCTTTTTCATTTTAAAGCCTAAAGCATTGCCAAATATCAATATTAGGGTTGTGTGTAGCTTTAGACCATCAAGACAGCAATTTTCAACTTCGTTCAACTTTTATTTATAATTTATATAATTATTGTTAGTTTTTGCCATTAACTATATATCAATATCATCAGTCTTAATTATATCTTTTTGTCAAAAATATATTACCACCTCATATTAGTGTTAATATTTACAAACCATCCCAATATATATATATATATATATTGAAAGGGACAATTTACATGTTAAGCTTTACTAATAATTTCACTTTAAGCCTCACAACTTCTTCACATTACCTTGCATGGTCTGCAGCTATCATTTTCTCTTCTTGTACTTTCTTTTCACCATTTAAAAAAAAAAACATTAGTTGAGTTCTAAGGATTTAGTAGGGTTAAGATAATTTTCACAGTTTAAAAAGCGTGCATAAATAATACTCACATAACAAATTACTACTCACATTACCTATTACTAACCAACAAGATCATCATATTAATAGTAAGGAAGAAATCAATGCTTTCATGAGAGATATATATATATATATATATATATTTACTAATTAGATCAACTTTGTTGACATGACTTTAGTTTTTTGATAAAGTGATCAAACGAATTTATCAAATTATAAGTTTGTTGAGAATATTCGGTAAAAGCCCATTTGCCATTATTATAAACGGGAAAAGGATCAGAGAGTTTGCAGGTTTCTTTTGACACTAGTAAACATGCGAATCGTCAGCCATGTTGAGGTAATATCCCAGACAAAAACTGGAGTGGCCGAAGACAGTGATCCATTGTTTGGTTTTGGTTGGAACAGAAAGATCCTACCTCCCAAATGATGGTTATGGTTTGCTGTGTTTGATATAATAGAATTGGACATACACCAAGATGATTTTATGAGCTCTTTTTATTTAGTTTTCATTTCAGTCAATTTAGTTTTCAATTGGCTGATTTGTGTTTGAGGTGGCTAAAGCCCTTTTTGTACTATTCTTTGTTTGATGCTCTCGGTTTTTGTTAATTTGATATTTAACCTTTCGGGATTTATATCATTCTAGTTATTTTATTTGGATGCCATCATAACACCTAGCACCCTTCGTTAGTTTGAAATGTTAAAAAGTACTAGCTTGTTTATGATTTATAAATAAAACAATATAGTGATTTGCTATAGATTTTAGATTATGTTTATTGTTATCAATTCATCGTTTTTTAGTCTGTTATTTGGATAATTAATCTTGAGAAGCAAGCTAATCCGAAATTCTGTTTGGTTCAAATTATAAAATTGCAACCGACATCTATCCACTCCCTTTATGTGTATTTTCAAACATTGTGCATAAATGTCTCCCCAAGTTTATATGACTGCATGAATCTGAATTATTGATGGCCAATTAGATGGCAGCTGGACTCCCACCCTTTCTAGGGTCGCTTACAGCAGTCAGGGTGCCATGTTTTGTATAAGAATTGGTGTCTTTACTGATCTTCCTGTTCATGTTGATAGGGGTTTTGAGATCTTGGACTATAAGCTGAGTGATGGCTAATGGTGATTGGGCCTCTTTCAGCTGATGACCCTTGTCTTCCAGGGAATGCCTTATTTCCTCCAAAACCTCAATGTGGTCACCATCAGGAGCAGTCAAGTTCTCGTATCTGATTACATTGGGGATAAGCTGCATACCAAGAACACTAAGTTCAGTGGTGATTGGCAGCATCATGCATAGTGTTTTTCTGGGAATTAGAATATAGTTCTCACCGTGTGATATATCCTTGGGCTCTGAACTGAATCCAGAGGATCCATTCCCAGGACAAAATGGTTTAGAAAAACTTGAATCACTGATGCGATGATGAACAAGCCACCGCTGCCTCCAATAACTCCAACCAATCGATCGTCCTGCAAGAGGATCATAACAATAAGCAACTGGTGAAAGAACACAATCAATTGCTATCAAATTGCAGCTGTGCGCAAACCACAAGATGATGACCAGAAATACCTTGGTGACGATGATGGGAGTCATGGAAGACAATGGTTTCTTGTTTGGTCGAATAAAATTTGTTGGAGCTGGAGGGAGTTTTTCAGGTGATACATAAGTAGGCACTGAGAAGTCATCCATCTCATTGTTGAGCACGATACCAGTAGAAGGAGAAAGCACACCAGCCCCAAAAACCCAGTTTACAGTTGTTGTCAATGATACAGCGTTTCTATCAGCATCCACAATGCAGAAATGGCTTGTTCCATGGTCTCGGAGTTGAGCCCACCTGCCCACCATATGATGTCAGACTTAACAACTTCTCGAGTAAATAAGGGGAAGTAAAGTGGATAGCACCTGTTCATATAGTACTCTGGAGGGAAAGTAGTGTTGTCGAGTATCTTTTGTTGTATTTTCTTAGCAAAAGAAGGGGAAAGCATGTCTGATACAGTACTCGTTATGTTTTCAAATTCAGGGTCGCCCAAGTTCATTCGAACAGCAAATGTGTGTTTGAGAGCTTCTATCAGCCGATGAACACCAAGCTCCCCTTTTACAGCATCTGGACTTCCATAGCTGTCTAAGATATTCAAAACCTATTCAAAGTAAAGAAACCATGAAGAGCAGTCCTTGAACCAAAACAAAATATAGTATGTTTATTCGTGAGGATGGTTAAACTCGTCAAGGGCTGCTATGACATACTTCCTGCAGAGCAACATGGAAAATAAAACAGGACATAGGAATATACCCACCAAAGAAAGAGCAAGTGTTCCGCTTGAAGGAGGAGGCATTCCATATATGGTATATCCCATCACATTCACTGTGACTGCGTCAGTTATTTCCACCGTGTAATTACGTAAATCTTCCATTGTTAGAATCCCACCAGCTTCTCTCACATCCTTCACTAACTTTTCACCAATGGTTCCATTATAAAAAGCTTGTGGACCTTGTTCTGCCACTACCTCTAAGCTGTGTCCAAGTTCCACGTTATAGCACGTCTCCCCTGTTTTTAACAAATTGCCATTTGGAGCATATACATTTCTCAACCCGGGATCGTTCATTATCCTATCTGCATATTTAGCTATGTAGTTTCCAAGATAAGGCGACACATCAAAGCCATGTTTAGCAAGGTTTACAGCTGGTTGGAACAAGGCTTTCCATGTCAAGCGTCCATGCTGCAACCAAGCTTCATGAAGGCCAGCTAATTCACCAGGAACTCCCATTGACAAGGCACCTTGGCTTTTAGCTTGGGGATTGTTCTGATACATATTCTGTTTCGTGGACATTCACAGTTACACAAAAGTAAGTTACCTTCTTGCAGAAATTTATATTAAGCATGATTCATATCTTCAAACCACATGTTCCTATTGATTGGCCCAATTGGAATGTGAGGTTTAACAGCAACAATAGTTTCATAGACAGAGTTGAATCCAAACCTGTGAAGAAGCTAAAGGAGCAGTTTCTCTCATGTCAAAAGCTTGCGTCCGGGCAGAAGATCGCACGACCATGAATGCCCCACCTCCTATGCCACTTGATGTTGCATAAACAACACCAAGGCATAATGAAGTTGCCACTGCAGCATCAACAGCATGCCCACCACGCCTAAGAACTGAAGCTCCGATTTCAGAACAACGCGTATCATCGGCTGCAACAACTCCCAGCTCGGACTCTATGCTATCCTGTTGATTGGCTTTTATTCCAATATCATGTTTTTGCGCCCAGAAGTTTGTGTTGCCTTTGGTTACAAGTCCCAAAACTGGAAAACAACAATTTCAAGCATTAGGTCAAGTCGGCAAATACGGTAGTCAAAGTGCTCCTGTGAAATGACGTTGTGGCATATCTTTTTCTTATTCTCGTGTCATATCTGACAGATTGGGTCTTCACTAATTAGAATCAATCAAGATTTTCCAGTCATAATTTGGTAAGAGATCAAAATGTAAGAACTACGAGACTCAAGCTTCCTTTCCCAATTAATTTACGTCCCCGCAAAGTGGTCCTCATGAATTCTGAATCTTCATGTTTAGCCAGAACTATGCATCAGAAATCTGTAAAATCGGTTATTATCGCGGATATAAGATTTCTTTTCACCTTCCCCGGCCCGGACAGTGTGAGCAGAAGTAAGGCTTCATATCAGCGTGCACAAAGATTAACACCAAGAAGGGTTGCACAGAAGTGAATTGTTTGTTATCTCTTCAATATTCATGAGTGCTTCAGAATAAAAAGAAAACAAGAAATCAGTAGAATAGGAAAGAAGAACGAACATGGGAGAACCATGAGAGCGAGAAGGAACGAGATAATTTTCATCGACTTCTTATTGCCTAAGCCACCACCTCCGAGCAGAGGTGATTCCATGGTTTGCTTCATGATGGGCTTGCGCTTCAGTGGGGTCAGTGCTCCGATAGAGAGAAGGAAACAGGAGAAAATGAGGATCGTTAGTGGTTCGACGCCTTGTGCAGGAAATGAGCTAAGCTTGGCTCATTACATTGGGGCGTATCATTCAGGAACTATATACCATAGTCAACGACTCGTGTGGATCCATTAACGCAGAGATGCTTTTACAGTACCATTTCAGCATCCCTTCAAAAATTAGCATCCAGAATCTTCAGCTGCCGCTCGGACCTGAGGCTTCTCTGATTGGACAATGCATAATGCGCTTTTTTTTGTTTCCATCGTTCCCTCCGGAATCTTTTAGTGCTTTTTTAAGACATTCATTGGCTGGAGCTCGTCAATAAACAATTCCAAATCAATATCAACGCATAAAATATGAAATAAATTTGTATAATAAATTACTCAAACAATTAACAAACATTAATTTATATAAAATAAAATTTTATAGAGAATAGAATTATTTATAAATTATGAATTTTCAATCAAATCACATATCACCCAGGAAATTAGGTTGAGTGGGTACTTTTGTATTTTATGAAACAAAATACGTGGAATTTTGGTGTCTAAATTTTCATTATTAATAAATTATAAATATTGTTACTGTTATTTATCTCAAATCGCAAGCAACATAAAAAAAATTAATCTAACTATTAATTTTTAAGATATATTTAGGCTGTAGGCCAATGAGCCCACCGTGCTTATTAAGATAAATTATATTTGTTGGCAAATTGATATTGATGAAATTTATCTCTATTGATTTCAATGTCAATCAAAATGTCCCCTTTTAACCTTCGGCTTTGTGTGACGTAACATTATCTTTTTTTTTAAAGGGTTGAATCATTTTCAGACTTTCACCTTTAGAATATATGGGAATAACTCTCGAAAGATCAAATTTCAAAATTTTAAAAAAATTCCGTGAAAATGATGGTTTAAAACCAAAGTTTGAGACTAAAAAGTTCTAAAATTTTAGTAAAAGATCAGAGATTGATAAGTAATTTTTTACACCAACATCTCATGACTTTAATATTCCAAAATTTACACCCTTCTAAAGTTTAACACTACAAACTTTTTTGTTGGAACTGAACGCTAATATTTTCATTAAAAGAAAGAAGGTTTATTAAGTAATTTGAGATTGACATTTTAAAATTTGACATTGACATACTCCAAAATTTGATACAGACTCAACTTTATATCATTATTAAATTTTGAAATGTCAGTGTCAAATGAATTTAAGTCTCAAACTTATCATTATATATATATATATATTTTTTCACGTTAGAAATTTGAATGTGCCAATAAGCAAGTGACAGTTATCCTCTCAAAACATGATTGAGACTTGATGGTGTTATTCTTACGTGTCAATTAAGATATTTTAAGATTACATTTGGTTGGATGAATTTGAATTTAAAATCTCACATTTAAAATTTATAAATTTTAAATTTTTTATTTAAATAATATAAAAAAATTTAAATTATAATATTAAAATTTCTTGTTTGAATTTAAAGCTAACTTGGACAACATTGGTGGTTTAGTCCTAGTCAAGGTCAATAGTCTAGTACAAATTATGGGTGACAACCTTATCTTGGTTGACTCTGGCTGTCTGAATCCAGATGACGTTAGTGGTCTAGTCTTGATTGGTAGCTGCAGCCTGATCTTGGTCTACATTAGCGGTCTGATCCCAAACAACACCTATGAATTAGCAAAGACAATTATAACAGTTCGAGGCTGCAGATTAGGCCTAAATGATGACAGCAGACCATTTCCTATTAATAGCAAAGATGGTGATCACAGATCAGTCTTGGATGGTGACGGAAGCTACGGATTGACACTAGTTGGATACGACGGACCAATACCGGATGATGGTAGCAAATCGACACTAGATGATGATACAAGACTAGCATTAAATGATGGTAACAACAAATTAGCACCAAATAGTGAAGGAGGGTGGTTGACATTGGTGGTCAGGTCCATGTCGACATGGACAATATGGTCTCGATCAGGTCCAGTAGTTCGGCTCGATAAATATTGGTAGTTTGATCCTAGTTGGAACCAGCTATATGGTCCCAGTTGGCGCCAACGATTAGGTCATGGTCAAAGTCATTTGTTTGACCCCAGGGTACACGGGTCATCTAGTCTAGATAGGCATAGAGCTAGGAAATGGGTAGGCTTGGCCCATAAGAGCCTGAGCCCTTAAGCCCAATTTCTCATTTTTCATCCCTTTTCTGAAACCCCACCCTTATTTAAAGGATTTAGGGTCGAGCTTGCAAGTCCTATTCTAAAAAATTTAGAAAAAATTAAAATAAAATTAAGCACTATAAATTAATTAAAATATTCTTAAATTAAAAAAATTAAAATCATTATAATCTTTTAGAAATTAAATAATAAACATTTAAAAAAATTCATTTTCAAAGCCCGAGCTCTTATTTAAACAGGACCTCCAAGCTCGGCCCTTTAAAACTGACTCTAGATAGGCATTAGCAGTTTGTTACCTGTCGAGTCAACCGTTCAATCTCCATAAACTATGATCTAGACTAGGTCAAAGCTAGTGGTTTGATCCTAGTTAGCTCCTATAATCAGGTCTCGATTGGCTTCAATAGTCCAGTCTTGGTTTGCTTCGGTGATCTAGTCCTACTCTGCTTTGGCCTTTTGATCATGGTCAAAGTTGGCTGTCTAGTCTAAACTAGCATTTCAATCCCCATCAGGGTTGGCTGTCCGGTCCCAGTCAAAGTTAGCCATTTGATCCCTGTTGGTGCTGGCAATTCGGTCTCAATTAGCACCAATGTTATAGTCCTGGTAGAAGTCGGCTAGAGGCAGCAAAGTTGAAGTCGATGAGCAAATGCAAGGAAGAGAGAGACTTTAATGGAAATTTAAAATAATAAAAGTTTAGAAAATATTTAAAATTAAAAAAGAAATTGAGGTAGAATTTAGATTTGGCCAAATCCAAATCCACATATTTTAATTACCCAAATAATAGATTTGGTTCAAATCTAAATCTACATGCATCTAAATATAACATTATTGTTTTTGAAACTAGGGAACTAGGGAATTGGATCCCATAATTGTAACAACTACTGATATTGGTGCTTATACTTACATGGCAAAATCTATGTTGTCTAATAAATTAAGAGTTTTGGAGAATATTATTGCAACTAAAATCATGAAACATTGAATTCAAATCTCTTAAATAACATAATTGAGTGTCCACCCCATTTCCGTCCTAAAATTTAGAGCTTTCTTAAACAGTGCATGCCTATATTATTATTTTTATGCAATATTATGATATTTTACATCTATCTTTCCTATTATAATTTTTGTATTATGATACATGAGTTTATATTATATAATATTTATGAATGGATTTATATTATTATATTATTGTTTTTACCCTTTTATACGATGCTCATTGTCATAGGAAATGGAGGAAGATTTTATACTAACAATGGGCAAGGAATTTGACAACGTACAAGAAGCGCGGAAATGTTAGATAGTTTAAGAAAGTTCTAAATTTTAGGTGAAAAATGGGATAGACATTTACTACATGATGCTATTTAGGAGACTTGGATTCAGCATTTATTGATTTTGATTGTAACAAGATTATCCAAACTATTGATTTAATGAATAGAATAGATTTTGCCACATGAATATAGGCACCCAATATCTATATAGTTGCTGTGGGCATGGGATCCAAGTCCAGGGAATTAGAGGCATGTTTTAATGGTCTTGATGAGCTCCAATTCATTTAAGTAGTGTTTAAATTAATGGATTTAGATTTGAGTGTAAAATTTAAAATTTTATATTTCAAATCTCATATTTAAAATTTATGTATTTAAAATTTTTTATTTAAATAATTAAAAAAATTCAAATAAAGAAGATAGATGAGTTGAAAATTTAAAAAATAAAAATAATCAGTTTATATCTATTTTTTAATTGATGAGAGTCGAAAATGAGAATTAAAAAAATATGAGAGTCATAAAAATATCAATAATAAAAATAAAAAAACAAGTGATTTAAAGTAATTGAAATTTTAAATCACTATTGTGAAAGAAAATTTTAAAATTATAAAAAAATTATAATAAAAAAAATTTTAATAAATTTTTATATATTTAAATAAGAGATTTGAATATACAAATAAAGGATTTGTATTAAATTTAAATTCTTATTACTCCAAGCGCATTATTAAATTATTTTATTGTAAGAAAATATTTTCATAGTGACGAGCTGACAGGTACAATCGTCACATGCAGGACATTTTGTACTTAGTCCACATTCTGGTAATGATTCAATGATGGTATCACGGACTATGATTTTACAGAACAAAAGTACTAATCAAATCAGATAATTTGCCTGATCAATGTTTTTCTTCAATTTTTCACCCAAAAAAAAAGAAAAATAATAGATAAATCTTTTTAAAATAAAAAAATGATAATTTATTCCGACGTGATGTGATAATATTAATGAAGTTTTAAGATATATTTTTAAAATTAAATTTTTATATAAAATTATTTTCTTTCACAATTAATTTTTATAATTCACAAATTTAATATAAACATTCGTCAGTTTAAGTTTAGTTTTATAAATATAGCACCCACGAGCACCACCGGCGCATGTTAGCCAACCCACAAGTCACTATTAATGACAACGAAAAAAATTGAACAAATATCACAACTTTTTCCAAAATTAATTAATAATATAAACATTTTTATTTGTGGGACGGCTATGGCTATGTGAAGCGCAGAAGCTAGGCTCGTTGTCAGAGTTAGATATTTTTGATCCATAAAACGTGTGAAAAGCCAGATGTAGTTAGATGAAAAACTTTTAAAACCATGCCATCAGGAACACTCTGGTAGTCATCATCACAGTCAGAGTCAAATGCTGAACCCAGGCCTCCTCAACAGTTCCAGGTGCTACACAAAAGCATTCCATTAAAAGGACGCAAGAGTGAAGATTATTAATAAACTGACAAAATCATAATTTTATATTAACAAAATTTAATTAATTTTATATTATTTATAAGTTTGATGTAAATATTTATAAATTTAATTTCATGTACTAATAATTAAAAAGATTTAAAAAATTAGGACTTCTTAAATTATAAAGGAGTACTAAAGTAATTTTATATATAAATTTAATTTTAATTTTTTTAAAAAATTTCATTGTTATTATCATATTTTACGAGATTAAATTATTATTTTTTGTTTTAGAAAAATTTTCTTCCATTTTCCAAAAATATATATTTATATATTGACTTAGTTTGCCAGAGAGAATATTTAATATTTTGGTGAGGCGACCGATGATTATATGTAATGCATGGCCTAGGCAAAACACATATGTCGTGAGAATGTATGAATGACTATGATTATTTGACACGCAGATAATTACGGTTAATAGTAATGCTGAGATCTAACGAATTTTTCAAAGTCTTATTGTTTCAGAACTGATTTATATATTTCGTGTTTGTTTTATCGCTTGAACTGAACATTTGAAAAGGTTCTTAGTCATTCTATAACCATTGTCCTTCACTATATCATGCATATTAAGTTTTTAAGGGGAAAAAAAAAATTAGATGAGTTAGTTTCCAAAAACTCATGAGAAATGAATTTGATATTAAAATTCAAAGAGTAAGTAGATAAATTTATAAATTACCTATCAACAAAATCTTACATTTTATAGAATGAACTCTGAGCTCGCGATTTTGATGGAACACAAATCTTGGTCTTATCATTTATCAATTAGACTGGCCCTTCGTTTACTCATGAAAAGTGTTGCTTTCATATTCTCATCCATTTTGAGTTTTTTTTTTTAATTTTTAAAACTAGCCCCGCTTTAGCTGAGGGAAAAAAAAATCAAAAGTATATTATTAAATTGAATTAGAGTAAAATTCGAACGAGAAAACATGGTATCTGAAACTTTCCCTTGCCTTTGTATCTCAAAAAAAAAAAGCTATGAGCATTTGATGAAGAATGGTAGACCGTACTTTGTTTTCGGCCACAACAGGAATGGTAGATAGTATTTAAAGGTACTGTGAGCAGATTTTTCTAGACAAAATAAGATTAAAATACATAAAATTCTCCTAAATTTATTTGAGTATCTCGATCAAAGTAATCACTCACCTTCAAATGTTTAAAATGAGCTTTTCTAATATGTGTTTGTGTGTGTCTACTCAAAACCTCCTATGATTAATAACTTTGTAAACTTAATTATTACACACAGGTGAAGTTTGACATAGAAAATATAATTTAATAATTTTTCAACACAATTTTAATAGGGTAAAATCATTAGCAACATTGTAGCAGGGTTGGGTCTTGCAAAAAGGTTAGTTTTAATGCTCACATTTAATATTTGACAAGATTAATTTTGACATGAAGACACGTGCATGCAATAATAAAAAAGATCATCGGCAGCTTGCAGATACATGATCTTAAAATGGCCATCTTACAGACGCTGCTCTTTATCGCTACCCTCACGACGGAGTTCATTATTGCCTTCCTCATGATCGCAGAGGGGCGAAATCTTCTTGTCATTTTCTTTAACGTGCACATGACGCTTTATCTCAGGACACCCCGAAAACGATTCTTGTAAGAGAGTTTTCATTCCATTGCTCGTTCTATTCCAGGAAAATGGATCACGGAGCCAGCAATGTTATCTGAATTAGTAATTCTTTTGACAACATTTCCAGCTTCACTGGTTTCCATCTTTGATTATTCTTCACAAATGAAACCACAATATGTTGTCCTACACACTCCCCCCCCCCCCCCCCAAATTAATAAACACTAATATCACTAATCGTAGAAGATTACAAGAAGGATGTAGCAAGACGGCTACTTCTTTCACCTTCCTCCTCCTTTGTTATCCAAGAAGAAGGATGGCTAAAGGTGCAGTACCCAAATACAAGAAGACTGATCAAATTTAGAGAGTTATCCCATTTTTTTTCTCGTCTTGTTTAAAGAACCGTGGATTAGTTTTCATTAATGGGTGCTCTTGTGAATTTAATGAAAATATGTAGCGTCAAGTACCATCTGTCATTTTAGCCTCATCTATATATTTTAACCTGAAAATAAAAAGAAAACACTGGATATTATTTTTTAAATTATTATTCCTTATTCTAGACATCCCTTAATTTAACGCAATTTTATCAATCGAATCAATATAGGTAAACTTTTCCAATTTTACTTTCTTTCTTTTTTTTTCTTTTTTCCCGTTTGTAATGAACCACAAAACTTATGAAAACGATATCGTTGTATGCAATGATTGTATCATGTTATACTTAGTCCACAGATAACTCTGCTACTGCATGATGGTATAATCATCATCATCACAGACCACAAACGTTTAGGCGTGTAACTTTTCTTTTCTATTTTTATAATTTGTGGTAGTGATTGAGAACAAGATTTTTCCCCAACAAATACAAAATTGGGGGCAACATCTAAAAAAACTCCCCCGTCCTGTTATCATCTCTCTTCATTATTAATAAATTAAGAGAAGTTTTCCCAAACAATGTAACCACTCACTCTTAAACAAATTTTCATATCTTCATATATGTTAGTTCAACTGAAGTGGAGGAGTTCAAGATCCATTCAAGACTGCCAGAAGACGTTAGGGTCAGCGCTATACAAAGAGAGATCCTTAATTTCCTGGTTAGCCACATGACAATCAATAAGTCGTGCTTGGATTATTTTAGACAGTGCTAGACCAGAAGGAAGCACCCACCATTCCCTTTCGTCCCTGCAAAACATAAACACTGTGTCAGCTCAAGCATCTGCCTCCATAATTGCTAAGCAAGACAATGATGCTTACATGCTAAAACTCCAGGACTGAAAGTTAGACTGCTTGTTATTTGAATGGGCTGTATAACAATGAATGAATCCACAGATGAAGGCAACAACCTGTTATAATGGAGACCAATTTAACTGTTAAAAGTATCAACAATGTATATGGAAACCAAGTAACACATATTCCATGGCTTCTTCAGCAATACCACTCACTACAGTCAATTAAGAGGGAAGATATGGGAGAAGTTAGAACAACTTACAACATTGACTAAAGATGTAAGATTCCACAAAGCATAAAGGCGAGCAAGACCTGCAGATCTCCTAGGTCCTTGACTAAACAAAGCATTGATTCCAGATGGGAATGGAAATAGTACGCCAAAAGGAAGGACAAACAAAACTAAGAAGAAGTTCAGAAGTGATAATGAGTACGTCTGAATCAATGTGAGCAAAATCAAAATCAAGTCTGCCAAAAGTAGTATAGAGATAAGTAGACCCACGAGATCCTGCAATGACAAGTCATAAAAAGAATATAAAGACTAAGAATATTATCTCCAAGGGAAAGGTCATGATTGAAAATAGTGAGCATTTGACTACCTGATGGCCAATAGGTTTTGTATTATAGAGAATAAAAGAAAAGGGGTAATATATGCTTTTTTTCTCTTTAAGGGTTCTTATGCTCTTCGTATGTAATATTTCTCCAGATATCCTTCTAGGCATCACCAGATGTTTGTCGCCCATCAACTGGTGCTCTGGGTTACAATGACTTGGGAGGAAACTACATGAAAGGCAAAGTTAACTTCCTGTTCACAATCAGCAACCAAAGAAATCAAATTTATAATCACCATGAGTTCTCTTCAGTCAAACTTTCCTCATCGTGACACTCAGATAACAGTGACGTGCATTCATTCTCAGTTGTGCGCACCACAAGTCCAAACTGGCAATACCCAGAAGCTGTGGGCTGAAACCAAGCAAGATCAACACGCACACCATACATCCGCAAAGCAGGGTTTGCAAATAGATTGAACCAGTTGACAACATGCTCCAAATTTAATCTTAGATGTCCACGGCAAACCAGGCGTAGTTGAGCATTGAGTCCAGCCACTAGCCGATACCATGTAGTAGGTGGAACAGACTAGAAGAAGACAAATTTAAAAGTTAATCAACAAGTAATTCTGCAGTAACATTGTTAACAATTGACATGAAAAGCTAACTTTCAAGTCACGGAAACCTGACTCATAATGCTAGAGAGAATATTATCATTATGAATAGAAAAGGGAGCCATGTAACTTCCATCTCCCCCAAATATTATGGACACAGGAAGCCTTTGACGAAGACGAGGAGGCAGATCAGGTCTTTTCTCATCCCCACCAAGAAAAAAGTCCATATATGCCAGCATCAGATCAGATGTTGCAGCTACCTGAAATCCGATATAAGTAACTACACCAGTGATTACCATGACAATGATTCTGAAAATCTCTGATTCTTTCACTTGTTAAGGAAAATGTTAAAGCAAAACAGACGCACAAGAAGCAATATCATGTCAGAAAAAGGATTCCATGTTTAACTAAAATGTCAAATCAATTTGTGTTCAGCTAACTAGAGATATTTGATCATAAGAAAGGCTTGTAAATTATATTATTCTATGATAGAATTGCTTTTGCTGCTCAAGCCCACAAAAGGAAAACGAAGAAGCAGCATGAAAAAGGAAAGATGCTTTCAGATGGTCAGAACGTTGACCTTACGTCTCCAACTATCAAGGAGCAAGAAAATAAAAAATAGGGCTGCTTTAGAGTTGCTTTTGACCTGGCTTAGGAGAGGGCATTTTTGGAGTCTGTGAGGGCTATCCTTCGGGTTTTATAGTAGTGCTGGAGGCCCCCAAAGAGATTATGTCATTTGTGTTTTGAGTGTTGAGAGCAGAGGACTGGCCTCTTGAAAGCCAGTGAGTGTTCGTTGTTGAGAGTGATTGTGTTCTGTCCTCATTGCCTTGATTTCATCCTTGCAACAAGGGAATAGGGTTTTATATTGAATCAGGGTGTCCTGTTTTGTAACTCTGATTCAGTATCTTATCATATTAATACTAAAACCTCAGGATTTCCATTACATTATGCTCTGCTGCTGCATTTTTTTTTTCCCTGGTTCTAAATTTACAGGGCTCATCATTCTAGCAGTTTGTTTTCAGGGGTATGCAAACAAATTCAGGAGATAAAATCTGAAGATGAACCTTAATCCCCTCATAAAGTGCTCGTGAACGGCAAGAACGCAAGCAAGTATGATCATATTCTGATCGAACAAATTCTCGGAGTTGCTGTAATTTCTTTCTCCGACACCTTTGTAACCATGACCATGCAAGGGGATAAGCAGTGACGCAAAGGATACTGTACATAGACCCTTCCCACCAGTGATAAGTTGCTAATACATTAATCTCATCCACAAATCTATTAAAAGCATCTTCATATCTGCAAGATAGATAACATGATTAGAAGTTAAAATGTCTATTTTAATACAAACACATAGTAAAAGCATCTTCCGCATGCAATGTACATAATCAAATAATGTTGCCACTAAATAAATTCATAGAATGAGTAGCATACACAATATCTTTTACTTGCTCTGGTGGACAATGAGACAGATGCCAAGGTTCACTGAAAGTATTTGGGCCCTGGAAATATAACCTATGTACATGATTTTGTGATTCCTCATTTCTATTTGTTTCCATGATCTGAAAGATGACAAGAATATGATGTTAAAAAGTTGATCTGAAATGCCATGAGTTGCAAAAGGAGTAATAACGAATTGCATTTGAAAGAAAGCAGTAAAACTGGCAATAAACCTCATTCAATGATTCCAGGAAAGGGAAGGAATTTATCCGTGTGTCATGTGGAGAAGGATCAAGGGCAGGTAAGTCATCCCCACCAACATATTTCATCCGTGCAATACTGAGAACTAGAGCAAACAGGACAGGGAGACCTAAGAGAACAAGACCAAACAACCACGGCCCACCAAAAGTGTGCACCAACTCTTCAAATGTTGTATAACAGTTTGGCATGTGATATCTGTCAGATATGCACTTGTATGGACAAGGAATCTCAGTCACACCACCTGTTGAAAAGGTAGGGAACAAATTTTAAGGGAAAGAGATTCTACATATTCCTTCTTTCAGGTGCCAAGAAAGCACTGGAAAGAATAATACCTCGAACAGAAACATATATAGCTCGATGTGGAAGCTCATAAGGTGGGCAGTTATGACAAAGGGCTCCATCAGATCCACTGACATTTTTAAAAGTACCAACAGGACATTCCTACAACACAATTTAAATAGTTGGAGTGCAAGCAACCAAGTTAGAGCAACTCAGGAATTGATCCTCTATATCTTAACGAAATGAAGGTTCTGACAAATGTCAGAATGTCGCACATGCACAGCAGTAATAAATTACAAAGAAAAGTTCAGGGCGTCAAGCAACCTGACATTTTAATCTTATTCTCATAAATGTATTCTAAGAAAATATGATTCAACCTCACAAAAGATACCAAAAAGCCCTTTGGGACAATCTCGTCCACTGATGGTTCCATTTTTTCCAGGAAGACCCCGACCTCCACCAAATCCTCCCCTGAATAAGAAATAAAGACTCAGAATCAGAATAACCTCAGCAGGTCAGAGGTTACAAACACATGCTACAAATCCGCCTACAGTAGGCTAAAAACCTTAGAGAAAATAATGTTCTGAAAGGGAAGGGAAAAAGAGAAATAGCAGCAATGTGTTCATGTAGCTTCATTCTTGAACTTCACTCATTACATGATACATGTGTTACTTCTAAACCCCAAGGAAAAAGAAGAAAATTAATTAACCTCCATCTTATTTCTCCTACAGTGCAACCTTCTCAAGCATACACGAGAAGTTCATGCCACCCATAAGTACTTGAGTTGGGTCAGTAAGTACTAAACAAGAAAGAAAGGCTTTAGTTGATTTGCTTCTGAAGTAACCTGCTGGTTTAATAGATGACCATAAGCCATAATGAATGATATTTATATTCATATCAATTCTAGACTCATGAAACTCCTACTTTGAAGGATAAAAAATATTTATGTAAAATGGGTGATTAAAGCATATTTATGACATGATCCAGACAGAAATATCACAGAGATGCACCTAGAGAATATATATGATAGCTTCATACTTTGTGCCACCACAAATAGTTAGACATCCAAACACAAGTCCTCTTGACGAATAAAAGTAGGCTCTACATGTAACCACAAACAAGAATGCTGGCAATCCAACAAATCTTCAAAAATTAGATGCTAAAATAACAAAGGCCACAGATTTAAATAAGACACAGCCTTCACTATATGCTAACCTAGCATGAATGGTTCCTTTGACACTTGCCAAAGGGATATATTCGTCTCCAACCAATATGTCAGTCCAATGAAAGTGAACCCTTCCACCACCTCCACCTCCACCACCACTAGGACTACCATGCCCCCCAGCAGTTGAGATCATAGAAGAGTCACCGAGCACCAATGACCGCACAAACAAAAGAATGGTTCCACCAGAGCCACCACCAGGACCAATGCTGGAAATTAACCGACCATTGTTGCCTCTAATATCTTCTCCAAAGCTTTCTCCATCAGCTCTAAGGGAACCTTTCAGAATCAAACTTGATAACGAATGCTCCAAAGAACCCATAACTGTAAAATACAAGAAAAATAGATATGAGAAAATCTCACTCTCAGCCTATAAATGCTGGGTTCAAAATCTAGTTCATTGACAACCAACTTAAAATTCAGATCTTACCAATAATGCCACCTCCAGCAGTAGCACCTGCTAGGCTACTATTTCCACTGCCACTGCCGAGTTCACAGGGCAAATCAGCATTCCCATAAGTGGTACCACCCTCAATGAAATTGCCATTGTAATATCCATCCCCACCATTTCCCCCATGTCCTCCACCACCACCAAGACCATTCTCATAATACCTTCCTCTACCCAACCCACCAGCACAGCCTGCCAATGGTCCAAATGAGGATACAGTAAGATATGATGAGAAGAACTAAAACTAACAATGATATTCTAGCGGCAAAGGCAATACCCAGCCCAGATACGGTGATTACTCCAGAAGAGTGAACATCAACATTTCTAATCCAGTGAAAGTGCACAACTGAACCATTTATGGTTCCTTGAACAATGACATCTTCAACCCGACAAAACTGTGGCAGAAATCCAAGTCAACCATTTGTAAGGAGCACAAAGACCAAATCCTTGATCCAGATTAATATCATTTTAAGGACTTAATTTTGAATCAAGCTAATGAAAAACCTGAAGAGTGAAGGCCAATGTTGAGTTAACATTACAATCTTCAGGTGGGTGAAGCAATTCCATCGGGCAATTTGCAAGTTCACAGTAAAGCTGAGGTGTCCTGCAATTTCCAAAACTAAACATCAAACTGAATAGAGAGAACTACAAGCTTAGATACAAATCAATGCGTAAACCTACCCAGAATTTTCACGAGCAGCATCTAATGGACCTCTTAGAACAGATCCAGGCCCAACCTTTGCATTTCAAGGATGATATTCATCATATTAGTACAGTAATAATACCACAGGTGGAAAGCTTAAGGTCAGGATTTCAATTGGAAGAGTTTCAAAACCCCAAGTCACCTAAATATGCAGTGAACAAGGCAACAACAGGAGAGTGATTTATGTCATTCCTAGCATGTGAATATGCCTGTATATGTCATCATATCAATCAACATTTTTGTTGCAATCAGCCTTCTTTGCTTCTAAAACAACTTAAAGGTAAAAACAGAATTTTCAGCAATTATGAAATGTTTTAAATGTAAATAGTCCCATTGTAGTTTGTGCAGAAAAATTATTTGTATAGTTAAGTGTTGATTTATCAGTCCATTCAACAGAAAGCTTTATGGACTTTATTTATCAGAAAGAAAGGCCTGCTGCAAAGTCTTTGTCCCAATATTGCCAATGTGTGTGAAAGCCAATGGTTAAAAGCCACACACAAAAACACGAGAAGTAAGCAAACAGCCAGGGTACAGCAATCATTAGAGATGTCTCTAAAAGTTAGCACGATCATCCTCATCCCTCAAATTATTAGCCCCCATCTAATTTCCATTACCACAAGTGGAATAAAACCCTTTTCTTTCAAGGGGAGAAGGATAGAGGGTCATGGGGTTTAGGGAAAAAAAATCAGCATAATAAAGGATAAGGATTAGATGTTAATGGAGCTTTCTAGTAACAAGAATAAGGAATTTTGACAAGGTCTCTACAGATTTAAGGCCTGAGAATGCTTCGATGGAATTCTCTAGTTCAAAGGCCTACTTGTAGAGCAGATGTGAGAAGTCTCATCTGCCTACCATTTTCAGTATGGCACCTGCCATAGCCTACAGTTGATAGACACTATAGGTCTACAGCCATAGAGGCCTTGTCTTGGGAATTTTACATCAGGGTCCCCTAAAATACAACACCTCTCCACCACAGCAGCTGCCATTGACAACAACACTGGTTTGTCCAAAGCAAATTTTAGATTTTTTTTTTTTCGGGAGCTCTGAAAAGAGCTCTTAAGGTCCTAAAAATTTCAATCAGACCAAAAAACAAACAAATAAAAGGAATCCAAACTCCAATGCATCACCTGCCACAAGTTCTAACAAGAACACAAGCAGAGCAATCACCATACCTTATTGTATATCGAAAGGTAAGAAGTACTAGCTGGGATAACATTCAAGAATTTGTACATGTTACATTGACTCCTATTTCAGTATCAACCTGATCTCTTCACAGCCACTCACTGCGAATTAGTAACGTTATTAAGGGGAATTCAGTTTCACAAAAACGTATGATATAGTGATTTCCTTGGCAAGTCAATGGTTTTGAAACACCAATTTGCCATAAAAAGTTCTAGTAAGAAACAACACTAATATTGTTACAACACTTTTCTGATAATATAAGATCTAGTGACTAATTTTATGATTTCTCAGTGGGTTCGTTCTCTTCCTGGTAATATACTGTAATCTAATGCTAAAAAAAATCCCTAGAAACATTGTTTGTGAAGACTATATTATTTCTCCTCTGTTCTGTTCCTCAATTTCGATTCTTACTCTCTTCTGTTAAAAACACCTTCTCAAACATCTTTTCTATGCCAAACATGTTAACACATCAAAACCTATTGACCAAGAGTAAGCTATCCATGTCTAAGTTTGTCCTAGACCTATTGAGTCCTAATCAACTTTGAGTGCCACTTTGCATATGGCACCATTTTGTGTGCAAAACTTCCCACCTTAAACCTCAACCACCCTTTATCTAGAAAGCACGTACAATGGAGGCAATGAAATAAAATGTATAGAGACCAAGTGCACTGAGAAGTAGAGCCAGACATGTATCATACAATACAATTCCACTTTTGAAGTATCGGTTGTTCATCGCCCTCCACAAATAGCTTCCTTGAAAATCTTTTTTTTTTTTTTTTGTTGGACAGCCAAGTGCCATTAAAACTTGGAATTGCAATTTGAATTTTATAGAAGCTTTCCTACAATAACTTTCATCACAGAATGTTGACCTCATCATCCACTGTCACATGGGAGATGCATTCGACCACTATGTCAACATGTTTCCGCCACCAAAAAAAAAACAAACAAACAAACAAACAAAACCAAAAAAAAAAAATAAACAAAAACAGAAACTACTATGTCAACAAAGAAAAGGATGATCATTGCTAACATAGCCATTTAAATGGTTGTAAGAAACATTAAAGCTTAAGGATAGCACATGATGAGCCTCCGACTTACATTGACACTATAAAACAAAGACAAAATCAGATGTTGTGCTTCTATCAGATTCCCAGGTCCAGATAAGTTCAATAAACCTTGTCCATGAACTCCCAAATTTGCATTAGAATGAATAACAGATGATTCCTGATCAACATGCAGACAAGCATGTCATTCCATAAAAAATTATGCAAACTGAAATCAGTAGTCAGTGAAGAGAACTACCTTGAGAACCATTAAATTGCTAGCTTCGAGTAAGGATGTTGCAACTATAGAATCACCAGCTCCATTTATGAGAATATTGGAACTTAGCATCAAGTGAATTTTGACAGACATACGAAGAGCTCCATATACCTAAATTAAAAACAAGAGAGAAAAATAACTTTTCCAAAGAAATCTAACCAATTAAAAGACAACAATGAGAGTATAATTTCAACAATAACATGTTTATTAAATACAAGTTTAATCAATTTACGCACTAAGGAATCCAATAAAATTTTAAGAGTAAATAAACTTTATTGTTTTAGCATTGAAATGAAAAAAATAAATATATTGTTTAAAAAATTGTTCAACCAACAATGATTGATTGAGTGGTAAAATATTCAACGCCCTTAAGTAACATCTTGAGTTTGAGCCTTGAAAATAGAAAAAATCACATTGGGAAAGTTTTCTCCTCATTGGAACCTAACCCCACTCAAATCCAGATTATAGTTAATACTACAAAACACAAGATGGTCTGTCACAAAGAATTGTTCAATTAGGAAACTTAATCATTTTTTTAGGTATTTTGGTCAAATAGGTACGATGGTTGGTTTCAAAGGAAGTCCGTGCATATTTATACAGTAGAGAAGATAGCCATGGAATTAAACCATTTCCTGAGGAGTGGACGGGAGACTATTTCACCAAAATTTAAAAAATGATGCCTGTTCAAGCAAGCGTTAGCATCAAGATAGTTGAAGTGAAAGGATCAACATGTCGGAAGTGTGTTTTGTGTATGTTAATCATAGTTTCTAACATTCAAGTTGTAATAACAGATGGAAAAACAAAACACTAGTAGTTGCGGTGATTGCTTGTTATAATGGTGACAATGGCCATAACCTAAGCCGCTGAGCGTCATATTGTGTGACTTTCGACAGATCAAAAAGCAGACAAAAAGAATGTAATTCATAGATCATAAGAAATTCATCTTGTGAAAACATCACCTTATGCTTACTGCCTTCAAAACAAATCAACAGGCTATTCAGGAATTATTATAGCATATGTATTATATAATGTTACACACCAGTGAAGGGTAGGTTAGTGAAAACAGAAAGATGATCAACGAAATTGAATAAAGGAGGACTTTTAGATGGCTTCAGTTGGTAGCATATGGCTGATGGTGGCTGATGGTAACACATTAAAATACTGTGGATTATGATAATTCCGTATGACTTCATATTCCAATATCTCTTGTAGACTCTTGTTACTGAAACAACAGCATTACATACCCCTCCCTTTTTCCGCGCCAAGATTAATTACTTTGGCATGACAATAAACGCTTCAAAACCAGTAACCTTGGCATGATAGCTTGGAAAGAGTGGATAAATCCCCCTGGCGCCAAGATTAATTATTTTAGCGGCCACACGCCAATTCCCAGACAAACAGGTAAGAAGCACATGAAAGCAACAGAATCTAAGTAAGAAAGTTCAATTTCCTGTCAGCGGGAAGTTACTTTTACTTGCCTTTATCATAGAGTCACTCATTAAAAGCTCTTCTGCCATTAATTCAAACTCTGATGAACCAAAGTGAGCTAGCCCAAAGCTCAAAACAGCACTGGAAGTCAAACGAATCACTCCACCAACCTGTCAGTCAGCAGAAACACCTTATAATTCAGCCATCCATCAAGTTTCGGTTGGGATGATATGAATGATTTAGTGAATAACCACAACATGCAGTCTCCAAATCAAATAACTTCCTCAGGTCACCTGAACAACCATCTAATTTCAAATTTGCTTTGTCAAATGTCTGCCGGTTCCTGGATACCCTTTCACACTCTTACATGCACTTTTTTCCAAGAAAATTTTTTAACAACATTTGTTCCAATATTATGCCTAATTAACTTCCATAAAACAACTATCAAACACCAATTCTTATTAAACACCGCCACACATAACATCAATATAATTAAAGTGCTCCACTCATTGATGCCATTAAAATGCCGGGTAATTCTAAGATCCTTTTTTTTTTTTGGGATACATTGATACCATTAAAGATTTTAAACTGAGTCCTTCAACAAACTACCCAAAGCCCTAATCACTAGACAGCTCCTTGTGACTTGGTAACTCTAAGTTTCAAATATATGTTATCTGATCTATGAAAATAAGCATGAACTCAAGACTAGACTACTCTAAAAAAAAACAAAGCCACATATGGCAAATCCTCTGCAGACTTTATTCAGGTGTTGCAGTATTTTTCTAATGCATGACAAGAAATGATCCGATCCCCTCTTCAGTGTCCTATACCTTCTCAACATTAGAAAGCATCAAGAGAGAAATGAGAAATCAACAACTGGTATGCTAGTTTTAAATAGATTCACATAGAAATGGCTTAAAATGATTTGAAGTTATGACATTCCCAAAGAAAATTATTGCATTAAGAGTAAAGTCTGTCCGTGACTCATGAATAGAATAGGCCAATCATAATCTGTGATCAAAACCTTCTTTCATTCTGTCACGCAGCTTCACTGCTTTTAAGACTCTTGTAGATTTTTGAACAAGTGAATATTCGGAGACTGAAGGCCTCATAGTTCTGATAGTTTTTCTTTCTTTTCCCCCCTTATCTAGGTAAACTATGATGGTTTTCTTTAACTTCCTTTTGGAAGATATATAGCCCTTTTTATTGTTACTCCTCACCTTTTCTCCTATCTCGATAACATTTCTTCTTTTTAACAAAAATATAATTCATTATTTAATTTTAATAAGGCCAACAGGCTCTGTACTTATATCACCTGAACACGACTCCAATATAGAGGAACCAATGCCTTAGCCTGATTCTGAACATAAACATTTCTCCAAAGAGGCAACTTAGGAAATTCCAGCAGAAGTGTGTCTGTGTGTGTAGACAAGTTATGATTGCAAATAACAAGACTCTGAAGAACAGCATCATAGAATGTCCCTGCAGCACCAGAGTTGCCAGAACATCCAAGACTCCTTCCACCTGCAAACAAAACAGAACGAGCTTTCAGAATTGTGAACGTGCTTATACTTTACACCATAGTTAATTCATCTCCTCAAAAGGCAAGAAAATAGATATTTTCACTATTGAAGAACAAAAAAGGTCATGAAAACTGCATATGCTAGAGAAAATACTCTATCACACCATGAATGAAGAATTTTGTATTGTCATGACTCCTGAAAGCATCAATTGAAACTCTCCCGCCCCCACCACCAGCAAATCCATTGCCCCCAGTGGCACTGATCTTGCCACTTCCAGTCCTGTGCTTGAAGAGGAGATGATTAGTCGCAAACTTTAATTACCAAAAGAAGTCTGGAATTGCAAAGGGAACTAGAAAACCTTTGCATCTCACAAAAAGGGGTGCCTTAGGTGTTTTTTAATATTTTCATATGAGATTAAATAATATCAAAAAAATCCAAAATAAATAGATAATGTAAATTTATGCATATGTAGCCATGAATGCCGAAAATATCTGGGTTAGGCTTCTTTGTCCCTTCCCTTCCCACGACAGTTTTCCTCTCAACTGCCCAAGGCACTCACCTTATATGAAGCATAAAACAGCCAAAGGCAATGCCAGGCAAGTGGCTGTCTGAAGAAAGTTGTGAGGTGAGCATCTTTTATATCGTTGAGTGAAGGACAAGATCATGGAAGCAAAACCCACCAGCCGGACAAACCACCAACATTAAAATAAATGAATAAATATGTCGGTAGCTAACAGATCTAAATTATTTATATTCCAATAAATTATTTCTTCTCCAGTAAGTCAAAAATTAACTTTCCAATATTAATTGATAGAAAGGCACAAACCACAAAGTTCTTTTGAATGTTAATTAACTTCCTCATACTTTTATTATTTACCAATGCATCCCATTCCCAAATAAGGATCACCAACTAAATTAGCCCACAGGGAATAACTTGAGCAGCCAATAGAGTATTACAATTTTCCTTATATGCATATAAGCAAAAAATCAACTGTGGTTAGCTCAAGGACTGATCAACTAATACTAAAGGCAAAGCATATACTCGCACCAGTAAGATTACTTAATTATTGGCAAATAAGCATGGAAAACAACATTGAATTGTACTGTTGAAGTTCTAAGGTTAGATATAATTACATCATACGAGCTTTAATGTAAATGCTGCCTCCGGATCCTCCTCCACCCTGGATTCCACCATCACCTCCATTAGCCAAAAGATCTCCTGAGACTTCAATGGAGCCCGTTATGTTGAGCAGAATTCTACCACCTCCTTCCCCACCATATGTCTCTTCTTTACTAGTAGTCCCACCTTTACTTCCATAACTCCATGGCCTGTCCAGTGAGGACCACGAGTATGCATCGCCGCCCCAAACATCATCAGGAAGCTTTGTACTAACTGTCACACAACTAGCACCCCTCCCACCATGCCCTCCACCCGCACCTTGAGTTCCTGACGGCGTACCACTAGTCTGTTCTGGGGGTGCACCTGCTAGCCCAGTAACATTTATCAATGACCCACTCAGCAAGCTCAGATTTTGGGATTTCACAAAAACCGTCCCGGCTATTATCGACGCATGGCTATGTAAACTGAATTCTCCGAGAATATTAATCAATATTAAGCAACCCAAAACAGGGCAGGTCAAACTCACGTTAGAAAGTATATGCAAGCTTCCGTTGCCTTCTATATACACATCACTATAGAAAATCAAGCTAGTATTGAGCTCGCAAAAGGCGTCCAAAGACCCAATTCCCTTAAGGTCCTCTTGGCACAAAAGGGAGGGAGGGTCAGGCAGCGGCGGAGGTGGAGGAGGAGAGGGAGGAGTATAATCTCTATATAACGAATTAATATCCGAATTGAGAATCGAGAATTCATCATGTAAACCAACACAGAAACTACAGTATAATAGGAAAAGGGGAAAGATGGTTTGAGAGAATGAGTGGAAACCATGAACAGAGAGAGCCATCGAAATATGACACAGCATGAATGCAAGTGTCAATTAGCATACTATGAACCGTATAGGGCTTAGAGCAAAATTAAAACCTAAATGGCGGAGGGAAAGACACGGCTCATAGGACAAGCAAAAGGTGTTGGGAAACGAGGTCTGGAAAAGAGATAAGATTGAGAATTGAGAAGCCTTAACATCAACGAATAAGGAAAAGAAGAAAATGCAGGAGCAAGTGGAAGATGTAAACTCCGGAAAAGTACATATTGGCATCATAGGGAGCCAGGGCAGAAAAGCAATGGAACACTGACAGAGAAGCCAGGAACGTGAAGACACGTGTGAATCACACGTGTGCTTCGCTCGTGAAGTTTTAAACTATGCTTTTTTAATCCAAAAATCTTGTCGACTCGCACCTCGTGAGTCGTGACATGTCCAGATGTCCCATTGGCATGAAAGAACCCAAAAAAAAAAATTGTACGTGTCTTGCTCCGGATTTTGGGGATCTAATGGTCTGGGCTTTAAGATTTAGTCGGTTCTAGAATATAGAACTATTCATGACCCAGCCCAAATATTGTAGTTTTGGACCGAGTTCACCCAACCAGACGTAATTTATGATCTCCTCTTTCTTTCTTTTTTTAATTACAAAAGGTTGAAAAAGAAACAAGAGAGTAATTATCCCATGTCTCTGGAACTGAACCTTAAGACCATAGCTCATAATAGAGTTGTTTCATAATAATGTGTTGTTAGTGATCTGAGCATAGTGTATTGCATGCTAGTTAATTCATATAGATATTTGCTTCCCTAAACATGTGATCATATGAAACCTCCCAATCTTGTATAGGTATTTTTCTAATATTGTCAACACCACCAAAAGCTGGATGAAGCTGATTCTGAATCTTTTGAATGTTTTCTATTGCTTCCATTGAATTAGAAAACAAATTATCTTTTTCAAAGTCAAGAATCTGGCAAGGATTTAAACTTTCCATGATGCTCTTTGTTTTTGTCCTAATGCCAGAAAAGTAACCGAACTTCAACATGAATCTGCCCCTGCAGTTATGTATGGAAAGAGAGGTAGGTATGAATTTATGGTTCATCTTCTCCGCTCGTCGTTGTAATGAAATCTAGATCATTTAGATTTTGATGATCCATATTTAAAGTATTATTTTATATTTTTATTTTATATTTATTAAAATAAAAAATTATAAAAATTATAAATATTTTTTTATAGTGTTTAACTTAATATAATCTAGACTGTACAGAACACATTTTGATAATTAATATATAAAAATTATAAAAATTTTAATTTTAGATTAGACTTTTAAAATTAAATCTAGATCAGATTAAAAGTTTAAAAATTATTAAAATTATTTTATAATTTTTCTATATTTTACTTTAATAAATATAAAATAAAATAATACTTTAAATTTAGATCATTTAAATTAAAATATGAATAGTCCAAATTTTATCACACTAATGAGCATCGTGTCAAGTCCATGAATTTATAGGGCATGACATTCTAAACTTTTTATTTTAATAACACATTCGCTTGATTTGGGAAAAAAAAAAAGAGGATGACCTTTTAGGATGTTTACATCAATTTAATTGGGAGAATGCTAGATATGTCTTAAAAAGGCTAATTAATTTAAGTTAAATCTCAAATATTAAATTTTAAAAAATTTGTAACTCAATTTCTTAATTTTGCAAATTCATTATGATAAATTGGCTACTTATATTCTAAATTTTAACAAGGAAAATAATTTTTTTATTTTTTAACTAGGTTAAAATTTAAAAAATAAATTGTAAATTTAATACAACGCAATTGTAAAATTGAAAGATTAAGTTGTAAAGTTTTGGAGTTTAATACTTAGGATCTAACTTAAAATAATTAATCCTTTTGAGACCTCTTTGTTATTCTCTCCTAATTTAATTTCAGTTTGGGATAAACAACTTTTAATATTTCAGTTAAGTACCCTTGGTTCATAGTAATCATATCAAGCATTTGTTGCGAATATTTCTGCAATGCCACGTTGAACTTTCGAAATTTGACACTGGTATGTGAGAAATTTGCAACTGACGTTCCAATGTTCAACGCAAAATTTTTAAATAATATATATCGGTGTAATAATTTTACACTGACGTTCTAACATTTAATTGTGAAAAAATTGTAACTGACTTTTCAATTTTTAACATAAAAGATTAGAAAGACTTGTTACAAAGACTTGGGACTCATTTTTCGTAATATATCACTAATTATATAGTAATAATTTACAACTATTTCACAAAATTTAAAATGGAATATTTTATAGAAAAAAGGTAACTAGGTATATCATATATGATTATTAAGAACCAAAGGTTTTTAACTTCAATTTTTAAATTTCTTATCCTCAACATAATGTTTGGCATAAAATTTGAATATTAAGTCCAAAATCCTCGCCAGTTTAGTACCCTTTTTCTTTAACGTCATGAAAACCGACCGTCTCTTTGTCACTCTTACATTTTCATATAAAGTATGCAACTCTGTTGAATTGGTACAATATGCATCATTCTGACTCCATTAGGAGTTACATAGCAGGAATCTAATAACATACGTATTATTGATAACACTAAGTCCATAAATTGTCATACAATATCACTGGACTGCTACACATGGAAGTAGGACAAGCACGCCTTCAGCCTCTCATGTCTACAAACAAGGTTCTCACCATCTCAGCTTCTCTGGAAAATACTGCAAAACAGAACACAAAGTGGCAACACAGAAGATTAGAGATTGAATTTCTTTATTGATGACCAAAATTAGTCAGTAGTGTCACCACTTACTTTCTTAATGAGTGAAAGATAATATGGTTTAACCTTTTCAACATCAACTTGAACATTGCTCTTGCTGTAGAGGTCATATTTGCTGCATATGAAGAATATTATAATGTATTGTAAAGTAAATCAGAACCAGTTTTGACTGTGCAAAAAATGGAGCTATGTGCTGAAACTAAAACATATGCTTTACTTAAATATTTTAAGCCACTTCAAATTCTCAGCATCCTCTTCATTCATCAAGTGCATGTATGCTCCTTCCCTGTGTAAAGCTGAGACATCAAATCAAATAATGTTAAGCAGAGAATAACTTTTCTACTCTCAAGGATATTTATATAGTATAGAATACAGTTCAACTTGACAATTCTACAATTTCTTACGATAGAAAGAGTGATATCGAATAATGAATAATGCTGCTGAGGGAAGAGTGGTTCCATTTTCCTTGGCAACCTGCAGATTATTTGCCCTCTTTCTTAGATATTGATCAAAATAAGATGATCACATTAACTAGTGTGCTGGATGAGCTATATCTATAGTTATATCTAGACTCACCAAGTACATGTAATCATCATGCCCCCAAGAGATCATTACGTTATCTAGTCCACATCCTTCATTGTAGATCCCATTTCTGGTACTGTAAGCAGGATTATTGTAATCTGGGTTATCCTTGAAATACTGCAGAACGGATGATACAACTTAGGTGAGTTGACTGTGTAAGATCACCAAAAATTGTGCCATCTGTAAGTTTTCTTAGAGCTTAAGATATGTGTTACCTTGTGGTGAACATTTGATTCATCAAAAGCACAGCCAAGAGGAAATGTATCTCCTGCAAAATATAGTTAACCTTTCAGTTCCAATACCGAAGACCAAAACTTGCATAAAAGAGAGGAAAAGGTATACTTCTTGTATGACAGTTTGACAGATATCTAAATTATATGACTTTCCCCTCCATGTTCAATTCATACTGTATTTTCTTAAAATGATACATAGCATTGACCTCTCTTATAGCAAAAGCTGATTTATATTATTAACGTCGATCTGATCAGACTACATGACTGTTATATCTGTTATTCAGTCAATATATTTAATATATATTTAATCAATCTAAAAAGAGTTAATATAATGCCACAAAAAACTAAATAAAAGTTTCAAGCATGTTTTTTAACACATTATAATTTTAATAAAAGAATCAATTTTATATGTAGAAGTATTTCAAGTTAATATACTATAACTAATTTGGGTACATTTTCATAGTGATGAAGAAAAATGCTGGTATGTTAACAAACATAAATTTAATGTGAGAGAAATTTAATAAGGTTAAAGGGAAGAGTTGGCGCACCAACAACAGCCCACTGAGGAAGCTGTCCAAAAGCAGGGAGGAGGAGAATCTTTCCAAGATCTGAAACGAACCAAACATTGTTAATATCATTGAAAGTTAATTTAGAATAAGAAGAAGCTACAAGAATTTTATATGTTTGAGTACCATGGATGAGAGCAGTCAGATGCAACCAATCTTCTTGAGGGTAGTCTTTTCTGATGGCCTCAGCTGACTGTAACAAGTGCTGAATCTGAGGTTGGTCCAAATCAGGATCACTATCATCCACAACATCATTCAGCAGCTCACAACACTCCCATATCCCCATTTCAACTTTGTCCAGCTTCCCATACTCCTCTCTCATTCTCTTCACCTGGGTTATTGTTACTATTAATTGATGAATGTTTTTGTCTTGTAAAAACACATATGAAAGGAATGAGAGCAAGTTAATTCGCTTACAAAGTCATATGTTTGGTTAGTGTGTTGCAGCTTATAGAACTGCTCAACACCTTGTTGTCTTTCACTTTCTGCGTCATAGTCTCTGTCAAGCATTACCATTGGCCAATGGCCATGTCAATTTACACTACTAGAAAAATTAAAATTAGTGACAAACATTTAGTGACGAATCTCCAATTCATTACTAATTATAGATATTAGTGACAAAAAATTTGTAACGGACTGGAACCCATCATTAATTACATGAATTAGTGACAAATATAGGTTGTTGTGACATTTAGGTCAAGTTTTATAAATTTAGTGCCTGATTTAAATCCGTCACTAATGTCTATTACTAAATATTTATATTAATGATCAATATTTTTGTATAAAAATAAGTAAAATGTGCTTAAGTATTATACAAAAATAAAAAAATTATTATGTACGGAGAGAATCACGTGAAAAAATCTTAATAATTTCAAAATTAAATAATTACACAAATAGTCTTTTCTCTTGTTATAAGTAAAATATGTAAAATAAAACTATAGAGAAAAAAGTAACAAATATTTTTTCTTTGATTATATGTGAACATTTAAATATAAAAATAAAATGTTTATCATATGAACATATTTTAATTATCACATAAATAATATAAAACTAATATTTATTTTAATAAAATATATTAATTGATATTAAATGATATATTTATTAACTAATAATATACATTGATTTATATTTTTATATACGTTATTGTGTGTGTATGACAATATATATTGTCAACATTTTTAAATAATAATATATTTAATATTTAAAAAATACATTAAGTTAAATATATGTGTTTAATTAGATAATATATATTAAATTTTGCATAACAAGAATGAAATATTCTTGCAGCTCAACAAGCCAAAGGTGCAGACGAAAAGAAAGAGATTTTTGATTCAAGACAAAACAATGTCAAAAGCAAAAAGAATTAAAATAACTTATTGACATGATGGAGGCGCGTAGCATGAAAGTGACATGATAGTATTTAATTTGGACTTACAAAAATATTTAATTATAAAGTAAATAAGTGACAAAAAGTTTATTAATAAATGATAAATATTTTTATTATTAAATTAGTGATAGATTCATGTTTGTCACTAAAATAGTGACGTAAAAACATTAGTGACTGATAATCCATCACTAAAACTAAAATTGTTGACAGATTTTGCTAATTAATAACAGATTTGTCTGTCAGTGACACCATTTTTTCTAGTTGGGTTATTCCTTTCCTTTGTTGAAAGCTTGTTTGGCTCAAATATGCCTATGTGCATGTATAAGATGGATGAAAGTTGAGAAGAAAATAGAATTGAAACCTGAAGGAGTGACCAAATGGATTGATATGAGGAGCGATGAATCCATTATGTGACAGAGATTTTGGCAAGGGGAATCCACCATGCAGCACAAGCTCATTGGTTTCCTTAGAACGCACATGACTCTCCTGATGAGCGTGTGAATCTGAAAGGGTCGATCGTATGATCTTATTATGAGCTACAATAATACACAATAAGATATATGCAAGTTGAAGCAAGGATTATATGTAATACACACCAAGCCGTGGTTGCTCAATGACCATAGTCATTTTCTCGTTTAAAAAGGGAAAAATAAGAATACAGAGGAAGCAGAGAAGAAGGTAGAATAAAAAGCAATAATGAAACGGCTTGGGTTGTGAAACGACGAGGGGGCTATATATAGAGGAAAGAGTAGTGATGATTGATGAAGGGTGCATGAAGTGTAACACCGTACTAATGCGTTGTCCTTCTATTCTACTCTGTCCCAGGCAATCCAAAAAAATCTTAGGAAGTAGAAGCTCATTGGAAGAAAAGGTGTGATAGTCGACCAAACCTCAACGATTTTTTGGTTTGGCAAGATGAGTCCAATGAATGCTTCATCATGTACTGGTGTACGTAAGGGGTCCGCCTTGGGTGGTGATCAAGCCGATGAGTAATATGGCGCTCTTATCATTTTGATAAGATCTGGACACTGATCTTGTAAAAATTTATAAAAAATACATTTTTAATAAATATGTTAAATATCAATTTGGACAACACGTATTTAATCTTGATGATTCAATACATAACGTCCAAATTGATTATTTAAATATATTCTGAATAATCCAAATTTAATATTATTTTTTATAATTTTTTATTTTGGTAGATGATATATTAAAAATAAAAATAATTTCCTAACAAGTAGTCAGGCATATTTTTAAATTCTCAATTTATAAAAAATTTTAATTTTAAATTTAAACCATTGAAATTACATCTAGATTGTGCATGTTGGTGATAAGTAGATTTATTAAAAAATTATAATTTTTAAAAAATTTATTTTAATGAATATAAATTAAAAAATTTAAATCTAGATAATATGTGCAGGAAAACACTTGAATATCTTGAAGACGCGTGGACCTACCATGTTGAGCAGTGGCCACCAGTGGGAATAAGAGCAAGCATCAGCAATTAAAGGATGTGATGGACATGTGATTTTGCTGGCGATACGAGTCAGCCTTGCGTGGATTGTGGGGACTGGGAAGACGTTAAAACGATTATACAATGACAAGATGGGACCTACTTACTGATAAGAGGACGTGACTATATACAGCACTTGATTATGGTGTTTGTGTTAGCTTGCGCTATGCTACTCACTGTAAAGCCTTTACAAACGACAACAATTAATTGTCCGCGTGCATGTGTGGAGTGAATAATTCACACGCCGCAACGAAGAAGAGAGAATCTGAGACGAGCCCTCAGACGTGTTAGATTATGGCCTTCAAAATAAAGAATGGAAAGACTTTGTACAAGATTTATATTACATATGCTTACCTGATCATAGCTAATCAATAAGTTTTATCTCTTTTTATTATATGTTTCAAAACGGCGTTGTAAAAATTATTTTTGTGTACTATAATATTTGTTTAATTAGACGTATCAAACAAGCTTTGGAGATCCATCAATGAGTTAAATGAATCGTGTGTGTAGTTTGTCATGGTAATAATTAAGGTGGGGAATGAGAACTTTGGAAGAGCCATTTGAAATTTACGGTTGGTTATGTAATTATTTTAGAAAAAGGATGCTTATATCTATCTTCCACTTCCCCCCCCCTCTCTCTCTCTATGTATAAAGTGCATTATGGTTACTGTTTATCTACATATTTTTTGGGAAAAAAATCCTTGTAAAGTAATTAATAATAGATTCAGAAAATTATATGTATATAACAAAATAAAAATTGTTGCTCAAATTTTAATTTATATGAAATAATTAATAATAGATTCAGAAATATTTTTTTGGGGGCAAGTTTTTTCTTTGGTTAATTGTGGGAGGACATAGTAAGAAGTATATTTTTGAACTTGATTTTAAAATTTCTCAACAGACTAATCAAAGAAAAAAATACAAATGCACCTAAAAAATAACAAACTTTGAGATAAAATGAATAATTATTTTTTTTTAATATGTATGTGCAAAACAAATTTTACTATAAAATAAATTATTATCAAAATTTTAATTTATGTAAATTAATAAAATATGTTATTTTGACTGTACAAATATAAATTATTTTGTATTTTTATCTTTTAAATATTAAAATATTTCATGTATCGTACGGAAATAAATCCAACTTAAGTTTAAATATGATTCGTGATCGCCTTGACGGGGACTTGATGGGCAGAGACGAAGCAAGATGTTTGGGGCGCGTGAGACTTTTGGAAGGTAGTGAAGTGAGGCTGAGGAGGCAGATTCGAGGGGCTGTGGTTGAGGGGGTTGCAACGGATGATATTTTAGTACCCGGCGACATTGCTCTTTTGTGTGCGTGCCACATGTCATACTTGATATGCACCTTCCCACGCCATCACAACTCTAGACCTATCTTTCTTTTGTTTTTTTTTATTATATAAAGATCACATTGAAAGTGTGCATTAAATGCTAATAACAATAATTAAAGTCTCATTTATTATGATGGAATTAAGGGGGTACAAATCTAAATATTGAAAATGAAATTGAGAGAAATGCTTATTTGGTATGATGGGATTAAAAAAAATTTTAATTTTAATTTCACCAAAATTGATGACATCAGTTTTCATAATAAAACCTCAATTTTAAAATTTTAAATTTTCTTTTTCATTTTTACCCTTTTCTCTCTCATCTCTTGTCAATGTTCACATCACTCATTGTTGGTAATTTTCACTACAGCGAGTCTTCAACAACACCCTCTATTGACAGTGGTAAGTTCCTCAGTGCTAATGATAGCCTTATCAATAGTGATGATGGCCTCCAACTTCTTGTTCACTCCCCCTCACTTTCTTTGTTTGACGACAATGAGGCAATAGTGAGAATAGCAGCCACGACATGAATCTTTGACTGAAGCTTAGTAAGGACTCTTCCCACCTTATCTTCTCTAAATCCATTTACCTCCTCTTCTTCCCACCTTATCTTCTTCGTTTCCATTACCTTCTACCCTTTCTTCATTTCTAAAGCTCGAAGGTGACTCTTTCTTTGTCTGCTCTATTTTTTTTCATTTTCAACTTTTCTAATTTCTAAGAGAAAAATCAGGTCGGGTTTAATGTTCATTTTTATTATCATGCTTTTGTGTTGTAACTTAAATTTTTGATGAAGTTTTGATACTTGATTGGATACCTAGGTACAATGATTTGATGAATATGTTCAATGCTATAATTGCTGTGTCTATAGTGCACAATCTTTGATATTTTATTTGAATAAATATTCAGGCCAAAAAAATCTAAATTAGTAGAGGGATATCTATTGTGAGTGTTGATATTAAATCATTTGATGTTATGTTGTGTCATAAGGCTTATTAACTCATAATTAACTTGGAATATTTAACTTATTTTCAAGTTATTTAGCAATTTTTATATTTATTTATTATATTTAAATTATTGGTGTACATAGCGATTGCAGTTAATCTTGAATTTGCATAGCCCTTATCCACAGTTACTTTAGAGAGTCCTAAATTTCTTTCAACAGTATAAATTGAGAAATTAGTAAAGGAAGGATGTCAAGCATTCATAGTGCTCTTTCCAGTGCATGGAGCATATGATGGTACACTAAATAAGATTGGGGTTGTAAGTGAGTTTCCCAAGATATTTGCTAATGAAGTATCGAGATTACCACCAGAGAGGGGTGGAGTTCTCAATTGATCTAATATTTGGTATAGAGCCCATCTCTAAATGTTATTATCACCCCAAAATATGCATTTTGAAATGTATTTGATGATATATGTTACTCACATGATTGTTATTTTTATGGCCTTGGCCATATTTGACATATGTACATGACGATTATGAGGTTATTGCCATTTGCATATATAATTAATTGATATGTAACTGTTTATGTTAGAGTAATCTTAATTACTGAGTGATTGTATTCATTCCTTATTTTTCAATATTATAAGGCCTAACTCATCGAAACAGGACTGAGAAAAACATCCGAAGGCATAGGATTCTGAGCAAATCCTACTTGTAGGCCTCTTAAATGTATTTTGTGTATTCTGAAGTTATTTGCCAACTAGGAAATCATACAATTCATTTTTGTCTACCCGTATTATTGTTGAAAATATCTTATGTATTTTGTGTCCAGAGCTATTGATAGGTGGTTGTAAACTTAATAAGACCAAAATACTACTACAAATAGCATGTAATGTAAATGAAGACATGGATGATTATTTTGTGAATTTTATGTGAAATCACTCCCCCTTTCATGTTTTGGTAATCAAAAGGTTGAGTATTGAAATTTTAATATACATGTTTCTGATTGATTAGGGTGTGTTGCATGGGTTTTGTATAGTCTATTAAGCGTGGTTTAAGGGTTGGTATGAGCTTTTGACACCTGTGATAGGATTTGGGCATCCTAGTTGTGTCTTCATGTGAAAAAAGAGAGAGATTTGTATAAGTTGTCTAGCTTTGCTAGAAAAATAATTTGATTGTGAAATCAATATCATTAACTAGAGTTAGGAGAAAGCTCTTTGCAGACACTTAAATTACCTTAATGGGACATTAGACAGAAAAATAAGACACCTAGAAGTTCAACTGGGGGCTATTTTATGACAATAAAATGCTGTCAAATTTCATGCAATATATCACGATACATGGCGCCTCTACCACAGCATATGGCATAGAAGCAACATGTTACGGTACATCTGCAGTATGCCACGGCACATGTGCTACTTTTGCCAAAACCAATGTTTCCTCACTTCATTTGCAAATTGTAACACCCTAAAATTTTCAAATCGATTTTTCGCAAATTATTAGTTCAATAAAATTATTATTTTATTTTTTTTTACATCCTCAAACCCTTATCACGGTAGAAAAATTTCTACCATGATAATAAATAACTAAACTTCTTTTCAAAATCCTACTATGGTAGAAAAGATTTTATCATATAAATAAAATATTTTACAAATAGCCTACCATAGTAGAAAGAATTTAACATAATGAATAAGCTCTACCATGATAATTGAAAATACATTTATAATAAAATTTTACCTAATGGAAAACAATGTAAAACCGATTCATATCAAAGAAAATGATAATTTTTAAATCAGCATTTAGTGTAAAAGCCTATTTTAAGATGGCAGAATCCTAAAATATAATTTTTTTATATTGTTATGTGAATCAAAAAGGAACAATTAGAACTATGAGGGACAGACAGGATCCTCATGACATGATATTCAAATCAGTTCAAAAATCAAGAGAGATTGACATGATCCTCTTGATCATAATAAATGCAGTTAATAAAAAGGATTAGAATTTATATGCTTCACAAAATAAGATATGTCATAAGTTGGTACTAGATACATTATATGATCCAAAATAAGAGGCAACGTAAAAGATGGTG